TATTTGGGAATCCTCACGATTGGCTGGTGTTATATACTCTCGGCACGGCTTGTTGAAATGCAAGGGGAGGGTGCTTCTATGCAATACACCAGTTTTGAGGCTGGATGCCACGATGAAAACCAGCCCTATTCCTCACCAATTCATAATGTTGAAGTTGGAGAAGCGGACGCGGACATGGCCCGCTGGTGGTCCGCCATACTCGCTCGACGTGAAGGATGGAAAGCAATCGTGAGACGGGCCCCCCGAAGGGACTTTTTGGCCCCGTGGGCAGTCTCGCGAACTTGTGAAACACATTTTTCAACTAGATACAGGGGGTCTTTGCCAATTTCCTCAACGCCCTTATCCTCCGGGAGAGCTTTTGAGGCTCTTGCTGCATTTGCGCGTTTGCATGGACTGGACAGCCAATTCCTCATTGCCTTTGCGATGGCTTTGACAATCCCAACACACAAGTATTACGCGTCAACCGCCAAAGTACCACCTCCAAGGATGACTCGTGGTAAAAAGAAACATACCCCGATCGATGCCATTCCGTCCTCGTGGATGAGCTTAAAAGAAGACTTGCCCTACTTCATGACTTTGAGTTGTAGCCCTGAAGTAATGATGTCAACTTTCTGTGGGGCATTCTGGGAACCTGGCACCCCTTGCAATCTCGTCAGCCCATGGCTACACCCGATTCTCAATGAGGTCCTAGATGGGACGTCCGCCACGGCAGGATGTGATCAAGAAATCCTTGCTTTCGTTGGTACTATCCGCCAGCCAGGGTTCAGTGCACTTTGGATTGGAGCAATTGCGAGCGGATTAGGCCCAGAAATACTCCATAGAGTCAGAGGAGGCCGGCCTCCTCTTGATCCCCTCGCCTTTCCCTGGACTGGGTATCCACAAAGCTTCATGGATGTTGGAGGGTCAGGCCCATACACTTGCGAAAATCCCGAATATATCCTGAGAGCCGACGTTTGGCGATTAATGCACCTTGCCTCCGCCGAGGAGGACAGTTCGTGCTACCAATATCGGCCTAGCACACCTTGGGCACCCTGCGGCGCATCCCTGACGAAAGATTGTTCTCTGTGTGTCACATCACACCTGGAGTGCTCTCGACACGAGTACCACTATGACCATTGGGATTGGGACTTGGCGGAAGGCGCTACGATCCAAGACCACGGGTTTTCGACACAACCCACATCGTCTGTGTCCGAGAATTTGGTCGACATTCCTGACATCGAGGTGTTTAGAACTTTCAAACAAACTGACGTTGACCAAATAGCATCTCGGGAAGCTTCCCTGGATATATTTCGATGGTTCTCGATCGGTGGAGAGGGCCGTCCCCTGGAGAACATTTATCAGGATGATTGGCTTCGGGGAATATGGGAAGACGACGAAAGTGAGATGGAGATCGACGGGACTGATCATCCAGATTCGCAAGGACCAGTCAGTCGGTCACACCCAGGGTCGACTCGAATCATGGCTTGATACAATCGGTTGATCTAATATCATATAACAAATTCCAAAGGTAGCTCGGAATGTTTCAATCGTACGAGATATATGGTTCTCTGCATACTACATGATATCCCCAAAGGGGGATAGTCAAGCAACCGCAAGGGGAAAAGCGGCTCCGGCCCGGCACAACCACCAAATCTGCAGTGCAAACTTTCCGGATCAACCCATTCATTCATTCTGTCTGTCTTCCTCCCAGCTCGCCAGCACTCTCACTCTACTCCCCTCCATTCTCTTTCGTCCATTGTCCCCAGTCACCGGGGTGATTCTACTCTATCTCTCTCCCTATTCAATTGACTTAATACATTCCTTTCTCATGCTCGATCAGTGACCACAATCGGTACGGTTCCGACTCCCGCAACCAGCACATCAGGCCATGACCCCCCCAGCTCACCCCCCGGCCGTGCCCTCACGCAATGCCCTCCGCGTCCTCCGACGACTCGCCCTCGCGGGCTCCACGGTCGGGAGTTTCTGCACCGTCGCGGCCATCACCTACGACATGCACCGCCGCGTCCGGGTCGCCGAGCGCATCGTCGAGAACAAGCGCGAGCTGCAGACGTCAGCCCCCCGTTACGATGCCACCTCCGCCGCGAGACGACTCTCCCGCATGATGGACGCCGCCGAGGCCGGCGAGTTCATGGGCATCGAGTCCTTGAAGCGGAAAGACCGGGAGTTGGAGGCCGCAACCCGACTACGCCCGCCCGCCGGGGACGCCGCGGCCGATCGAGACAACCTGGTGAATGCGGAACTGGAGCAGACGGATCTTGAGCTGGCGCGGGCCGAGAAGGTCCTGGGAACGGCGGATTCGGATCAGGTGGTGGTGCCTCCGGAGCAGGGGCGGGCTGCGGATAATTTGGCCCGGGCGCAGCGGGCTCTTGGGCAAGCTGCTGGGGCTACCGTGAAGTCGGAAGGGGTGGCTGATCCGGTGGTCGATAATAAGGCAGAGGGAAAGGCGAAGTTGGACGGAAAGGGGGAGGAGGAGGAGGATGGAAAACGGGCAGAGCCCTATAACCTTGCGGCCCGCATGCAGGATCTTCTGGATCGCGACCGTCCCATCGACGCGGCACAGCTGTTCCTCGAGGAACACCCTGCGTCCCTCGACGGGATCTCATCCGAGCGCCGCGAGCGTGCCCTTGAAGCGTTCTACGCCAACTGCAAGGATGATAATGTCTTCATCGCGCGCAGTATCTTTGAGCGCATCGAGGCGGTGGACAGGGTGACGGCCAACATGTGGCGCGTGCTGATGTTTGCCCTGGCCAAGAAGGGATGCATCGAGTCGACGGCGACCGTCTACACCCGGTACATGCACCGGTTCCTGCTCCCCCCGGACATGGTCGACATCGTGCTGCGGACGCTGCTCGAATCCCACCGGCTGACGACGGCCAAATGGGTCCTCCTGCGGAATCTCCACGTCGACCGCAACTGCGGCCTGTGCGGCGCCTACCTGACGGGCCTGTGGCGGAAGACGCGGAGCATCGAGCTCCTGAACGGGCAGCTCAAGAAACTCATGACCGTCCTCCCCCGCTTCGGCAAGCGGGTCACCGACAAGCTCTTCAACCCGGTCCTCAAGGCCTACATCGAATTCGGGCGGCAGGCCGACGCCGAGGCGCTGGTGCGGGAGATGACGCAGACCTACGAGCTGCCGCTGCGCTGTCGGACCCAGGGGCTGCTGGTCTACGGACGGGCGCTGGCCTGCGACTGGGAGGGGGTCGACCGGGGCCTCGACGAGATGGCCACCCGGGGGCTGACCGCGGAACGGCGGGACTTCCTCCCCATCTTCGACCGCGTCTTCCTCGAGTACTGGGTGCCGCACTCGGGGCGGGAGATCTGGGATTTCCTCGTCCGCTACATCGACAAGCTGGACATCGTGCCCGACCGCGTCCTGTACCGGCACATTCTCGAGGCGTTGGTCGAGAAGGGCGACCAAGAGATGGTCGCGGAATTCACGCGCATGGGGCGCGAGCGCGGGTGGAAGGTGCACATCAACGAGGAGCAGTTCCTCGAGATGCTCCGGTCGCGCCGCCTCTCGCTGGAGGGGTCCCCCGTCGGGTTCTGGCAGATGCTGCAGGCGGCGCGGGTGCAGTACGGGCAGGCGGCCACGTCGCAGTGGGTGCTGGGCTACGACCAGCGGTCCTTCCCGCTGGCCCAGGTCAACGCGATGCCGGGCACGAAGGAGCCGCTGCCGTGGTACCGGCGCTCGCTGGCGGAGCGCACGCCGCAGCGGCCCGTGTCGCAGTACCAGAAGCTGCACAAGCAGATGGCGCACTACATGCACGTCGGCAAGATGGAGGAGGCGCTGCGCTGCTTCGCGATCGCCAAGAAGGCCCGGTTCCAGGTCAAGCAGCTGCACGTCGAGCTGGCCGTCGTCGCCACGCTCCTCGAGCACGGGCTCGCGGCGGCGCGGGCCCTCATCGAGGCCGAGTGGCCCGCCATCCAGCCGCTGCTGCGCTTCTTCCCGCAGTTCTTCCGGCAGCTCGTCGACCTGGACGACGGCGCCAGCGAGGGCACGTTGATCCAGCTGGCCGTGCTCCGCTTCTACCAGCTCTGCTGGACCGACAAGAACATGATCGTCAAGCACCACATCACGACGGCGACGTGTCGGCGGCTGGTCGCGCGCGACCAGCCGGCGCTGGCCGTGGACCTGCTGGCGACGGTGTACGCGTCGCAGTACCGCCGCGCGGCCGACTTCGACGGCGTGTGCCTGAAGATGTTCGCGCGGGCCTTCGCCGCGCAGGAGCAGCTCGCCGGCGTGCGCTGGTGCATCCTGACCGCTCTTTCGCGCGGCAGCGCCGTTAACCGCGACCTCGTGGTCGAGGTGCAGCGCATCCTCGGGGTGCTGCGTCGGACGCGCCTGGCGGGGCCCCTGACCCCCAAGGAAACGGCGCGGCGGACGGAGCAGCTCGAGTACCTGACGTGGATCGCGGACCTGCTGGCGAGCAAGAGCGAGGGCGACCAGACCGTGTGGTCCTCCCAGTCCGTCCCCGGCGTCAAGCGGGCGTTCCGCCAACACCTGAAGCGACCGCTGAACGAGCGACGACTCTACAAGAAGGACAAGGACATTCAGCGGACGGTGGAGCGGTGGGACGAGGAGTACGAGCTGGAGGCGGTTCTGGGGCGGATCGAAACGGATCCCCAGGTGATTCAAGCCCGATGGAACCAGCAGGCCTGTGTACGGGGTGCTTAATGGGTTGTTTGACCGTGGTTGATTTCTCGATGTGTATTTTGTATAGATATTCTGTTAGATAGTGACCACCCTGTACCACCATGTACCACCATGTACCAATGTATATAGACTCAAAGCGATTAGTGAATCAACAGTCCCAGATAAGACAACCATAAGATCGGAGAATAAGCCTTCTGCATCGTACGTTGGCGCAAATTGGCTGGTGTGCCTGAAAAAGGAGTCCATGTCACGCCACCCACTCCGTCCTTCTTTCTTCCCTTCAGTTTTTTTTTTTTCCCTCCGTTTCTCCTTTTAATCTCCCCACCATCAACCTCCCTCTCTTCTCTTTCTCGATTTCTTCTTCAATCTCTCGTTCTCCCCAATCATTTCCTCAGTTTCGGTTGTACAGTCTCCGAAATATGCCCTACCCTTTCTCTCGAACTTGCGACGCCCCGTGTTGATACGCCAATCCAAACTGCCACTCCGCATCCTCCGATCTCTCCTCCGATCCCTCCGATCTCAATCTCCAGTCTCTCTCCGATCTCCCTTCCAATCCCTTCGTCGATTTTTCGCTCGAGTCTCATAATGAATGGGCATGCGGTGGATGCGGCGGAACAACGTCGGACGGTCCATCACCATGCCGACATCGTGATCGTGGGCGCCGGCGTCCTGGGCTGTGCCTTGGCCGTCACGCTGGCGCGACAGGGTCGCAGTGTTCTACTGCTGGAGAGTTCGATGAAGGAACCCGACCGGATCGTGGGCGAATTGTTACAACCGGGTGGGGTGCGGGCCCTCAAACAGCTGGGCCTCTCCGATTGCCTGGAGGACATTGACGCCATCCCCTGCGACGGCTACCACGTCTCGTATTTTGGCCAACCGGTGCACATCCCCTACCCGGTCTTGACCCCCGGCACGCCGCGCCCCCAGGGCCGGTCCTTCCACCACGGCCGGTTCGTCATGAAGCTGCGCGCCGCCGTGCTGGCCTGCCCCAACATCACCGTCGTCGAGTCCAAGGCCACGGACCTGGTCGTCAGCTCCCACACCAAGCAGGTCCTTGGCGTGGAGTGCGTGACCCAGGACCTGCGGGACTGCTACTTCGGCCACCTCACCGTCGTCGCCGACGGCTACGCCTCCAAGTTCCGCAAGCAGTATCACCCGCACGCGCCCAAGGTGCGGTCGCGCTTCTGGGGGCTCGAGATGATCGACGCCGTGCTGCCCCAGCCCCGCCACGGCCACGTGCTGCTCAGCGACAACGCCCCCGTCCTCGTCTACCAGATCGGCACCCACGAGACCCGCATCCTGGTCGACGTCCCGGAGAACCTGCCGTCCGCCTCGGTGCGGAACGGCGGCGTCAAGGCCCATTTGCGCAACGTCGTGCTGCCCTCGCTGCCGGAGTGCGTGCAGCCGGCCTTCCAGGCCGCCCTGGAGAAGGGGCCGCTGCGGTCGATGCCCAACTCCTTCCTGCCCTCCACGCCGAACAAGACCCCGGGGTTGATGATCCTGGGCGATGCTCTCAATATGCGCCACCCGCTCACGGGCGGCGGCATGACCGTCGCTCTCAACGACGTGATCATCATCCGCGACCTGCTCAGCCCGGAGGCGGTCCCGCGGTTGAGCGATACGGATCGGGTGTTGAAGCAGCTGTCGGTGTTTCACTGGCGCCGCAAGCAGGGGTCGTCTGTTATCAACATTCTGGCTCAAGCGTTGTACGCATTATTTGCAGCTGACGGTGCGTCCTATGTCTCCCTATCATTCTTATACTCCCGCCCCACTTCTCTCTCCCAACCAGCAAAGCTAATATAGAATAGATCCCAACCTCAAAGCCCTCCAACGCGGCTGCTTCCGCTACTTCGAGCTAGGCATCACGGACGGCCCAAGCGGGCTACTGGCCGGTCTGATCCAGAAACCGTTCGTGCTGTTCATCCACTTCTTCAACGTGGCCTTCCTCTCGCTGTGGCTCATTCTCCGCGACTCACCGGTGTACCTACTGCCGGTGTCCTTGATCCGATGTATAACGGTGTTTTGGACGGCTTGCGTTGTCATCTTCCCTTATATGTTGATCGAGTGGTTTGGTTGATTCTTCCTGACTGACTGGTTACGATTATCTCCTATTCTGGATGCTATATTACCACTCTTCACTGTTATTACTACTATTGCTATTACTGTGATATTCCCCATGATTACTCGTCTAGCCTGCTTGACTGTTATCTTCTACGCCATTAGGAGACAACCGTCGTTCCAGGGTGACGTTATCGGTTCGTCCAGAAAGGACAACAACCTAATGTGTTTTTCTTTTTTTTTCCCCTGTTATTTCATTTGTGTTGATGTTTTGATGTTCCTTCTGTTGTACTATAGAGACCTGCCTGACTTGACTGTTTATATCTCATCTATGGATGAACGGTGATGGTGGATGAAGTTATTGATGACTGGACATATATAATAATACCTTACATGCATATACATATACATACTTACTTTTATGTGTGGCGAACAGTAGCAGTGATTACTTCACGCCGAGTGTTTATCTCTGTGAGTGCAAGAAAATATATGTCAGTATGTTATCTAGTCTAGATATATAACATCCTACAGGGACAACATCTTCCCCTTAACATTATATCATAGCCGCTACGCTAAACGGTTGACCAACGTTTGATATAAAGCTTAACCTAAGTAATATACCCAACAAAAGAGCAACCGTTCTCAGATCAATCCTCAGACTCGGTAAAAAGCCAAGGGTCCTGCAGCAGTTCTCTTGCTGTACTCCGTTCCTCCGGGCGCCATCTCAACATTCGTTTAACAAACTCAATGAACATCCTCTTGTCCTCGCCTCTGACAGTTGTCAACAAATTCTCAAAATTGAAATTTGTAGGCTCGACAGTTGGTCCATTCAAGGCCCCTAGAATGCATCAGCAAACTGCAGTTACCGGGTGAATAAGAACCACACTCACCTGCTTTATAAAAGCATGGAGTCCTCTTGCCCTTGTCCAACAGCTCCTTCGGAGGAGGACCTAGCAATGCAGTGATACGTGCGAGATGATTCAACTCGTTATATTCGTGAACATGCACAGGATCGATGTCCTTGAACAGCTTTTTCCCTTCAAGGACATCCCATAACTGGTTAGCAAGGTTAGCAAGGTTAGCAAGGTCCTGTCCAGGCTGGATAGAACGAATGCCTACCATAACCCCCAAGTTCCATATGTCAGCACTATATGAAAATCCAGCATCCAGGATCACCTCTGGAGCACGGTATATCTCCGCTTGAATACATCCATCATGTGGTTGATCACCCGAGACGGAAAGATCGAAATCCGTGATTTGAATGATTCCAGTTGTCTTGCGAGGTAACCCGTAGTTGTTTCGAGAAAGGTAGACAGTGCGACCATGGAGGTTCGTTTTCTGTGGCAGGGGGTGTTCGTATTCATCTTTGGCAGATTCTTCCAAAATAGACGGATCTTCTAGTTTGACCATGATGTTATCCGGCTTCAGATCTGGCACCAGTTAGGGACCCGCTCTCTTATCATAGATGCCAGTCGCCTCAGACAGACCAGTATGGATGACATGGCACTCAGAGTGGAGGTAATCAAGACCGTGGAGGATCATTTGGAGCATGATTCTCAGAACATCGGACGGTATCGTATCTCCTGTAAACCTCTGTCTGTATAACCAAAGAGGCTCCCGCAGAGGCTCAAAGACAAGAACCAGGCATTTCGTCGACTCATACTCTAACTGAAAAGAATCAAGGAGGTGCCTGACAAAAGGATACCCTATATGTCGTGGATTTGCCTCCGAGATAATTCGGAGAGTATCCAGCTCTGCTTCAACAGTATCCCTCCGCTGCGCGAAGCTAGCATTAATCTTGAGAGCAACATACTTCTCTCTCAACCAGCATCATCTGTGCTTATCAGCAATAACTACAGCCAAAGACTGGGAGGTACAAACCGGTCGAGGTCCCGAGCCAGCCAAACCGTCGAATTGGATCTGTAACCCAGCTTCGCCGCAAGCTGGTATCTGCTGGTGAGCACATCTCCTAGACGAGCCGGATAGAACAGACGTGAATCATAGTATGGCGTGTTCTCCTCCTCGACGGGCTGCTTCATATCCAGCTGGGATGCGACGGCTGTTGACACCGGCCAAGGGCGATGCTTCAAAGCCGCTAATGGGGCCGTAGCTCTTCTGATAGCAGTTGTCATGGATTACGGCCAAGGCATAGGGCTGATAGGTTCATATGTTAAGTTACTGTACCGGAGTTGGAAGGTCGCAGGCTGCCTTACATGGTCGAGTAACATCTTGAAGTTAGCTGGCGGAATATATAGTATGGCGTAACCACAGCAACTACCCAACGCGTCAGTTAACTAGATAAACGGCGCAGGGGTTCTTTGCAACAGGACGAGAACACAATGAAAGAATTTCTGAAACCTCTTTCTTATTTGAGAACGTGCAGCTATGGTGTTCGTAGTTGTTGATCTGTAGACATGGCTGAGCACTACAATCCTGGATATGTATAAGCCCACGATCGTTGTAGCTAGATTCACATCGCGAACGGGTCCACCTGCTGGATTTCTTTGATTGACTTGAGATTGTGGAAATATCTGATGAACAGCCGTCAAAATGATATGAAACTTAGAATATTGAAGCCCAAAAAGATGACAGATTGTCCAAAAGCAGAGTACAAAACAGTGTGTGAAATGCCAACTGCTTGCAGTCCCTCCACACACATGGCATGGCAGTCAAGTGAAAAGAAGAAGAGCAAAAGGAAAGGAAACAAGAAAAGACATGAACTGAGGAAAAAGACATAATTAACTCGCCTGCTCTGTTCCCTGCTCCTGCTGCCGTTCCTACTCCCGATCCTACTATAGTATAACACCAATGTAGGTAATGACATGCCTTGATATAATATATATAAATAGGTATAATACAACAATCCTGATAAAATCCCACCCAAAAACCAACCCAACCCAAACAAACCTTGAACACGATTGAATCACCATTCACTCATCATCCCTAAACCAGACATCCAATGTCGAAAGTCAGTAAAAGTAGGTAGGCCCCACGACCTATCCTGTTCTGAAACGATGCTGAGCGGCCTGTCATTCTATTCGATCTGTCCGTACTCTCCGAGTATATCTGAGTTTCTGAGTTTGAGTATCTGACTAGTGTATCTGTATGTGTATACGATTCTTGTGTGCTGTTTATCACCATGCAAGCTCACTCGCCCCAAGCGAGTCAAAAACGAACAACAACTGCAGACTGGAAGTAAACTGAAGTAAACCGAAGACCCAAGGGTATAGCCGGGGGTATAGCCAAGCCAAATGCCACAGATCGGGGACGATAATCGTATAAAAAAAAAAAAAAAAAAAAAAGAAAAAGTTCCTGAACATCAATATCAATCAAAGAGCAGCTATGCAATTGCAAGTAATCAATCCACGGTTCGCTTTTTTCCCCGGGATCGGTCCGACCTCGAAACGCCAACATGAGGGAGTACTAAGAACTCTGCCAGATAACCGTCACGAACGAAAAAAAAGAAAAGAAAAGAAAAGAAAAGAAATGAGACAGACGGAAAAGATTCATATACCTTCACTCAAGACCAGGACAACCGAATTGTGACGGACGCCGCCGCCGGATTTATACAAGACCATGGATCAACCCCCTGGGACTCCACGGTAGATTCTCAACAACCAAACGGATCAAAAGGAAATCATGCCGTGGCACCGACACCATCGGTGCCACTGAATAGGTAGACACCGGCCTTCAAGACCGAGATCCTCCAAACGAGGCCCTCCAAATGAGGCCTCCAAACGGACTCTCAACCGAGGCCCCAGGCCCCGCCGTCTGGAGGCACTTCGCGCCACGATGCTGGGACTGTGCTCGGCTCTGCGTGGCTGAGTGGGCGCGCCGGGATTTTTTTTGCAGGTATCATATTTCATTGTCTTCGAAACTTCGTCGTCGTGTTTTTGTTTTTGCTGATTATCGCAACATCGTGAGTGGGCCAAGAATAATACCAAAGCAAACCAGGCTTTTTTTTTTTACCCTCCCTTTTCTAATTGATTCACTAGCGTCATCCCCGTTTGTTCATCCACCCTTTCGCATCGACTCATCTAAGGGGAGCGGCTCCGCTCCGCTTTGATGACCGTGTCGGTGCTCCGTCGTCGACCGGACGTTCTTCTTCTGCTTCTTCTTGGTGGTTTGCCAGCCACCGCTGGTGTGAGAGCCGTGCGAGTCCGATGTCGCGGTGTTGACCCCGTTGGGCTTCCGCGCCGAGTGAGTGTTCCGATCCTTGGGGTCGCCTTGTCCGCTGGATGGATGATGCGACGCATCCGGGCGGTGGTTCCGGAACCGCGACCGGTGGTGGGGGGCTCCGTTGGTCTTCTCGGCGGCGTCAGTGCCGTTGGGGCGGCGTTTGCCGGTGGATGGGGGGTGCGACTCCGTGGCTTGGCCGGAGGTCCCTCTGTCCTTGGCGGAGAACGGCTTCGACCGAGGCATGTCTTTCTCCGACGGGTCGTGGTGCGATGCGGCGGCGCGGGACGTCTCCGTCTTGGCCACAGGCTCCGGCGTCTTGTCCCCGTTGGCGAGGTGCAGGTTCTGCAGGCGGGTAGACAGCAGACCCGGCTTCGGGGGTCCGTTGGCCGCGACGTCGACCGACTTCGACGTCTCGATCCCCTGTCGGCCAAAGTACGGCGGCGCATCAATCTCCACGGAACTGGTATCCTGCAGATCCTGGGAGAAGGAGTCCGAGACGCTGATGGGCGTGTCCGTGTTGGGGTCATCCGAATTGGACGTGTAGTGGCTCGTCGCATACGGATCGTACGCGTCGGCGGCAAAGACCGGCCGGGGTTCACTGGGCGGGACGGACCCGTCGATGATCAACGGCCCCCCGCGATCAATACTCGCCGCCGTCGGTCGGGCGGCGGCCGGGCGCGGTTGCGGGAGCCCCGCCTTGGGAGGCTGCGACGAGCTCTGGTCGGAGGAGAATCCCGGGTCGCCCGAGACGGTGGACAGATAATCCTGCGCGTTCGTGACAAACGGAACGATCCCACCGTTCTGCAGCGCGAGACCGACCGGCGTCGACATGGGTGACAGCATGGCGTTCTGGTGGTAGGCTTGCAGTTGCGGTGAAGTGGCCAGGTAGTACCCGCCCATGTACTCCGGCCGCAGCTCATCCAGGTAGCTGGAGCGGGATCCCGTGGGCACGCTGCTCGGCGTGAAGGTGGCATCGTCGTCGTTGGCGGTGCTGTCCGGCGATCCGGGGATCTTCCGCTGCTTGGAGCGCGGGGAGCCGTCCAACGGCTGCGCCGCGGAGTAGATCGGGGCGTAGTTCGGGAGCGAGTTGACCGTGCGGGCGGGTTGCGATTGGGCCCTCAGCGACCCCGCGGGGGACCCGTTGGCGACGGACGAGCGACGGGGGCTGCGTCGGAAGTCGGGCAGCGCCGTCGCGGTCGACGGGGACGGCGGGTTGGTGTTGGTGCCCGGCACCCCCGCCACCCCGACGGGCAGATATTGGGCGGGGTAGTAGACGGGGTGACGGAGGGGCGGATGGGTGCCGGACCGACTCCGAGCGGCGTCATCCCCCGACGAATCCGGTTGCGACTGTTGCTGCTGCGACTGCTGCTGCTGGGGCACCGGAAATTGTATAAACGGCTGACGGATGAGGACCGGCGGGGGCCGGCCGGTCAACAAGGCTTGATTCTGCAGCTGTAACCGCAGTTCCTGCTCCTGCGCCTGGAGGATCTGGATCTGCTGGTACAGATGGTCGTGGAGGAGATATTGGGCCTGCTGCGCGTGCAGCGAGAGCTCGGAGGCGCTCACGCCCGGATTCGGTTGTCGGAAGTTGTTCGACTTGTTCGGGGTGTTCGAGGCCCGTCGCCCCCCGAGATGTGGCCCTCCGCGCGAAGGGTTGGCGTGCCGCCCGCCGCGTCCACCCCCTCGGCCCCCGCGCGACGGGGGCGGGGCGGCGGTGATGACGGGCCGGGGCTGGGGTGGAGGGCGCTCCCACAACCGTTCCTCCTCCACCGGGTATTCGTACTGCTCACAGCAGCGGTCCAGGTCCGCCTCGGCGACGGCCTTGAAGGCCCGACGCATCTCCATGTGGACGCCGCGGAAGGAGGTGTCATCGGCCGTATTGCCCAGGTTGCGGGAGGTGTTGAAGGGCTCCTCGACGCAGAGACGGTTGTTCTGCAACAGATGCCAGCCCTTCTGCACCTTGGGAATAAGTTTGGCTTCGCGGACCGAGATCACGTACTTCTCGTAGTCGAGTTCGTGGCCGTAGTATCGGAAGAATTGGAAGAGTAATTCGCCCAAGGACTGCTTATTCCGTCGCCCATACCCCGCCAAGCCCTCGAGGTTGTCGTCGAACGAGCACACGAGCCCGTCGGCCGAGACCCGTTTCTGGTGGGGGCGGGCTTGCAGACTCGGTAGAACGGGGGGATCGCGCGTCTGCAGGAAATTGATGATCATGCAAATCCAGGTGTAGGAACTAAGGGTACCGCCGAGACCTATGTAGGGGGCCAGCTGTCAGCATCGCACATCCGCCTGGTCGATTCGAAATTGGGGCAGCGCGTACCGGCATCGTTGAGGATCCTCCGTTTCGTCCAGTGCTTGATGATCATGGCCAGCGGCCGCACGCGCTCGTCCGTCTCGACGTACGTTCGGACCATGCGCGTGTTCTCCAAGGCCATCGTGTTGTTCACGTTCATATCGCACGCCAGGCGCAATTCGGGATCCCAAATTTTCACGATGGGGACCTTGGCATGGGAGACACAGACGACCCGTTCCATGCCATCTATCCGACAGGGGTTAACGATGAATCATACGGTGGCGATGGGAAGGGAACGCCTTACGTTTGGCGAGAACATCCGCCAGCACGCACACATGTTCGAGGTCCTTCAAGGTGGTTGTGATGCAGATGTCCACTGCGAACCGTCAGTTTTTGCCCCCCGTTACTCTTTCTTTGTGAGACCCACCATCCGAATCACTGGAACAGAGTTTGTTCCCCGACGAGCCAAACACGTTCACCTTGATGTTATTCCCCGGCCATTGGTCGTTGAACAATTTTTCCAGCTTGTGGACCAGCTGACGCCGGCGATCGTCACTCTCAGCGGAGGGGAGTAAGCGATCGTAGACCTCGAGCATGTCGGCGGTCAACCGTTCGTCTTCCTCCGGGGTCAGGCGCTCCTTCAGGCCGTCCTTCTCCTCCGGGAGCAGATCGGCGCCGATGGTGTAGGGTATGCGGCGGCGGAAGAAGGCCATGGCGGTCTCATATTTGCAGCCGGCGAAGGGTTTTCGGGAGGGGGGAAGGTGGGCGGACTCGGAGTGGGTGGAACGCGGCGAGGTGCTGCCGTGGGGCGGGGAGGGCGAGCGAGAGTGAAAGGAGAGGTTCCGCGCATGCTGGTAGGGGGTGGAGGGCAAAGAATTCGACTGCTGGGAGGTCAATGGGGGGCGATTGGGAGAGGCCTCCGAGGCCGTATTGTCGGCAGGGAGGTTCCACGGCATGGTCGAATTCTGCTCCCCAACTATCGGCGACTTTCCACGAGGAAAGGGAGATGATTTCGTATTCCCATGGGTATCTGAAAGCATATAGCGAGTCCAACGTTGACCACCAACGTTGATCGTCCAAGAAAGGGAGAAAGAGGAGGGGGGGAGGGGAAAGGAAAAAGGAAGAGAGAAAGGTCGAGGGAGGAGGAGTGGGAAGGGAAAATCCCGCTGTGGGCGGTATATGGAGAAAGCCGAGCGAGGCGTCAAGTAATCAGGTCGGGAAGCGGGTATCTTTTGGTCGCACGGTATTAGGACATCAAACAGGTGGGAAAATCATATACAATGCGTCACCGGGTGTATTCACGGGGGAGAATAGATAAATCAATCAGAAGGAAAGAAAGGAGGACAAAAAAAAGAGGGAGAAACGGTGGAAAGATGGGGGAGGAAGAGGGGAGGAGGGAGGAGGGGAGGAACCCGCAGGAAAAGCAACGGAGTGGTCAGTCAGTCAGTCAGTCAGGGTCTATGTTCTTTTTCCAGGACCATGAAGAATAGATGACCGTGATGACTGGGGATTGAATGACTGACAGAAATTGAGGGAATGAGAGGGGAGAGAGAGAGAGAGGTGAATGAAAGAAAGAAAGAAAGAAGGTTGAATGAATCTCCGGGGCGGAAATGATAGACGATCAAGAGCGTTATAGGGGGAGAGCGATAGAGCAGGAGCAAAGGGACTCACTCGGGAATACCGGGATACGAGACCCGTCCTAATTGACGATTTGGTTTGTTACTTGTATAATAAGAAAGAAGAAGAAAAGATCCAGAGAATCAGAAGGGAAAAAAAAAGGGAAATTCGTTTTGATGAACCAGAAACGAGTGGTGAGCCTGAGCCAGGGGGCTTCCATCGTCCACTCCATCAAAGAATTCCTCGACTGACTCTTGCCACCACCATTGATACTCCAATCTTTTATTGTACTTGATTTCCGTTCCAGATATACAGTACCTGGATTGTTCAAAAGGTATAGAATAGGAAAAGAAAATTAAACAGTGTTGTTTCAAACCCAATCGATCATCCAAAGGATATGACTACGCATATACTCCGTAGAGATGAAATGACATACAGAGTACTCCATAGATGTGTGAGATGATAGATGATGCACCAGATCTCCAGCCGGCCTGATCATAGAACAGGTCTAGTATTGGATATACATATTCTCTATATAAGCACTAGGTCTATACTCGTGTCTATACATAGGAAGACGAGGCGAGACAACCACGCCGATCCATTCTCGGACGGTGCAGGAACGGGCCACTCAGCGTCCCCGTGCGTCACGTATCATGTATCAAGTATCGGATTCTGAACAGGATCAAATCATGCAAAGGGTTGGGGTGGTGGATTCATGGTGCCCCCTCGAGGTGGATTGCTGGACCATCTAGATGGAGAGAAAGCGACGGAGTAATATCTCCCTAGTCCATCCAATATCCTAGACTATTGAACTTCCGTGGACCTGCATCTCCGAGAGACCCTTCCCCTATCCCTTAACGAGAATCATCCACTAGATTACCCCGGTCAGTTGGAAGACCGTTAACCCAATAGGATCTGCAGTGGAATACCCTGGGAAATTCATTCTTTGTCAGAGGATATCCTTAAGAATATCCTTATTGCCCCGCGTTCTCGTTCAACAGTCTTCTCCTTTGAATGATGAACCACTGGATAGGGCTATCCACATCACTATCTTCGATACTATCTATATCAACCATCCCTAAGAGACGGTTTTTCCCCCGCGTCCATCTCAGATAGTCCCTGCCCCTACCCCACCCAACAAAGCAAATACCGCATTGATTCTTGTCCCCATCCAGAACGTCTCGACCTGGTCACTAACCATGGACGACCCAACTGGATGCGGCATGGACAAAGCGATGGTCAAGCCACGGACATATGATCATCGGACCTGGGTGGTTGTACAGGGAAATTCTATTCATCCGTATTTCTGGGGTTAGTCTATACAACATGGGGATAAGATCCGGCACGCAGTTCTTGTCAACATGCATGATCTAGGATATACCTGACGATTCTAAGCGCTGGCTTCCTGTATGAGCGGTCCGAGGGTATAGTAATTCTAATAATCCTGTTATGTGGATGGCTGCAGAAATGACATTTCCGAGCAAAAGGCCGAGGAAAGACCATTCAGTCTAGAATGACAGGATGGTACAGTACTGATATGACAATTTCCGAGAAGTAGAGTCATTCCTACGCCATCGTGCATGGGAAGTCATCTGTGGGAGGTGGATATAGGTGGATATAGGAGGGATGATTTCATCTCCCCTCTTTCTCCCCCCCCTCTCAATCATTCTCTTGATTGCTATTGATTGATGATTGATTGACTTTATCCTCACTCATTTCCTGGGCTGAACTTGGCCAGTCAGATGGGTGGGTATGTGCACGATCCATTCCCCATGAGGACCTTATGGATGAATCAAGGTATATATAGATTAAACTGATAAATGATAGAGAACAGATCAAATGATGTAAAAATCATAAATAGAAGAAAACAATTACTAGTAGATAGAATGGATGATAGTGGAGACTGAATTGACTGGATATTTGGCAGTGAATTTCCTAGACTGGAGAGGAGAGAGAGAGAGAGTAGAGTAGAGAGAGAGAGAGAGAGAAAGGTGGGTTGGACTGTATGGTCATGTATGGTACTGTATTCTAAACCGGGTGATTGGGGGATGGAATCCATTCTTACCGGTATTAATATAGACACTGTTTTTTCCTCCCCCTTTCTATCTCTGATATTGGATAGAATGATAATCAGTATTACCAATGATCAAGATAACTTGATATAATATTCTTAAATTACTCTGTAGATAATCAAGTCTATTGTTGCTCTCCCTTGACCATCTCCCTATCTTAGTCAAAAACCTGTTATCGACCTGTTATCGACCTGTTATGAATCTGTTATACTAATAATACAGTAATATTGATTTTTCATACCGTCCCTCCACTCCCCATTGCGCCTCTGCTACCCGATTCTCTCTCTCACTCTCTCTCTCTTCTTTCCCTCTTTTCTCTCCTCTTTTCTCTTCTCTCTCTCCCCTGTCAGGCTTTCTCTTGCGCACCCTTTCTCTCTCTCTCTCTCTCTCTCTCTCTCTCTCTCTCTCTTTCTCCCTCCTCCTCTCCCTCTCTTCTCCTCCCCTTATATCTCTCACGTCGGACTTTTTCCTGTCGGTCGTGATTTAAGGGTGAGAAGTTACTGCCTCTTGCCGTTCTGCCTCGTTCACTCGTGGTAGACTCGCCTGGTTTCCCTCTGGTGAAGGCAATCTTCCATTTCCTGTAAGTTTGATACTTTTTCCCCCTCTCTCCCCAACTTCACGATTTTTTTTCCCTTTTTTTTTTTTTTTTTCCGTCGATGCTCTCCGCCAGCCCACTCGGCCCACCACTCGCCCAGATACGCGCGACAAACATCAAGATCACATCCAAGAAAATATCAAACATAAATTCAATTAAAATAAATGTCGACAAAATTACAACCATCAAGAACATCCACCAAACAACCCAATTCTTGGCTGGTGTTTCCGATCATTGGAATGCTCCAAACACGTGTGTCCCCGAAAAACCTCGTCGTCTCTCGCCGTCGCTGGTCCCCGGATTCTCGAACGCCGGATTCTCAAGCCACCACAACTCTGGTGCTATCGTCAAAAGACTAATCCCTTCCGTCGGGGTCATTCCTTTATCCGACGGTTCGACTGCACTCGCCCTGGGGGGGCGGCTTTTTCTCGTTCTTTTGCACGTCGGGGACCTCCGCACCCACCCGCTTCATTTTTCTTCTGTTGATTACACCCTGACTAAGGTGGATCCCCCTGCTTACACCGGTCTTTTCTCCATGACAGGTCCCTAGCCCTCCTTTTCCTCCCCTGCGCTCCGATTGCGACCTCTCGCGGTTCGCCTCGCTTCCCCGTCAACATGTCCTACTACGAGCCTCAGGGCTGGCAGGCCCCGGCTGCCTCCTCCACCCGCCAGGTCTCGTGGGAGCAGCCCGTGCCCCCGTCGCGATCCGGTATGATCCTATCCCAGGGGGAAATCTCGACGCCAAGTGAACGGTCGGCTCATTCGCTCTCAGGTTCCAGCTCGGTCTCTCAGCGCGAGGATATCCCGGCGTTCTCCTCCCAGTTTGACGGTACGACCACACCTGTTTTCTACCCTTATCGTCGCGTTGTCCTTGGTGGAGTCGGTCGGTCATAAGGAATCCGGGCCGGATGGTTGTCGCAGCCGGCTGCGATCACCCCGAAGGACCAACGGTGCGATCGGACCCGACGTGATTGATGGTCACTAACGTCTTACTTCCAGAGGTCGACCGCGCCATCGATAACCTCGTCAAGAGTGGAAAGCTGTGGAGTGCTCCCCGACGGGACTCCATGCCCATGATGATGGGCCGTCAGTTTCCCGAATACGGTATGAACTGTCCCTCTCCCACCCACATTTCGGAGCCTGAATCCCGTGCTAACTGTCCGTCAGACCCCCGTTCCATGAACTCGATGCCTCCCCGTCATCACTCCATCAGTGACTTCGAAGCATCCCGCATGCACCCTACCCCCAGCGCGCAGGGCTTTTACGCCTCCCAGCGATTCCAGGGTCGCCAGGGTGAAGTGGAACACGTGATGCAAGCAAAGCGTCGGATGGCGGCACAGCGTGAGAGGGAGCTCCGCAACTATCATCAGGAGCAACAGTACAACCGAAGTACGTGGTAGCATCGTCTTTGGAGCCTTTTTTTTTTTCTTTTGCTTTCTTTTCTTTTCTTTTTTTCCGTCACGTCACCGTCACTATTCCCCTTGACTTTTCTCTGGCCCGCATGTATTGGTTGCCTTGTATAGTACATTGGGACTCTGGGTCCTATCTCTCTCTTCTTCTCTTTTTCTGAACATGGTTTTTAATTCTTGGTTGTCTCAAAAGGCCTGCTTGCCGAAATGTCTGGAAACAAGTCCGATCGCTCCGTCAGTCCCGCCGCCGTCAGCGAGGACAGCCGCCGTGACCTCCTCGCTCGTCAGCATAGGGCCCTGTACGGCAACGAAAGCCCCGCCTTCTTCCCGCCCGGTACCTTCGCCGACGACGCCGCTGGCCCGGACTCCCCGGCCGGTGGCACCCCGTCGTCGGCCTCCGGCGTCCGGGGTCCCTCGCCCCGCAGTATGGACCTGTTCGGGGTCGCCGCCCAGCCCCCCGTCGCGGGCGGTCCCGACGGCAGTATCGCCCCGGTGGCCCCGGGCGCGTCCCTCCAATCCCCGTCCCGTGCCAACAGCACCTCGTCCCCCAGCTCCGGCGTCAACCCCATCTTTGGCGCCGAGCCGCCGGTGACCTCGACCGCGTCGCCCGTCGGTGCCGATTCGCCCTCGTCCGCGCGGTCGCAGCCCCCGTCTCAGCCGATCACTGGTCCCATCGGCTCCGTCGGCCCCATCGGCTCCCGCCCCGTGCAGCAGCCCGTGCAGGCGCCCCACCCGTCCCTGAACAAGCGCTCCACCACTCCCCTCCCGTCCCCCCTGGGCTTTGGCTTCACCGCCGGTGATGCTGCGGCCCCTCGGTCCTCCAACGACCGCTCGGCCTCGTCGTCGTCCAATCCCACGGCCGCCCCGGGCGTCAAGGAAGCGACCGGTGGTGTGGCCCTCGGTGGCTGGGGCAACGGCAGCGGAGTGTGGGGGTCCAAGACCGGACTGGGCGTGCAGGCGTCCGTCTGGGGTTGAACACGCACTTCACCCTGAAGAAAATGAATGAAAGGGGAGGGAAATTGAAAAAGATGAAAAAGAAAGATGATCGTTTCCCCGCACGGCGTTCCGAGAGAGGGTTTTGATTTTGTGATTCAACATTGGGAACGAACACGGTACATATGGGAAGAAAGTCGAGCACGGATTCGTTTTGTTCTAGCGACCGGGGGCGTGGAGCAAGTTAATCGGTAACGTACACGGATGGCCTGGAGATATTCAGCGGGCCTGTTGGGGTTCTGGAGTCGGTAATTACCGCATGTTTTTCTTTCCTCTTGGTGTTTCGATGCATATGCCCTTTTGTTTATCCCTCTCTTCTCTGTTTTGTCTGATTTGCGGGCCTGCACGGCCGGTCTGATCTGGGGGTTTGGGGATACCTGTGTTTACCATGTTTATGTATGTGAGGGTACGGTCCGTCTCCAGGAGCTCGAGCGTGTTTGCAGGTTGCAGTTTTCTGTCGGAAAGGGAGGGGTTCCAGGTGTTTTGACTGTTGCTCTTTTGTTGTTTGATCTGGGTACCGGGATTATGGGTTGAAAGGTTCAACTGTATTTCTTGATATTGATTTTGGATGTTCTGGATGTTTTGATTATTCTATCTATTCTGTTTTATCTTTGTGTTTCGTTCTGGGATTGATATTATCTTCTTGATTTGATGTTTGTTATACTGGGGAGTCGGCAAGGAAAACACCGGACAATAGGGGAGCAGGAGCAGCAGGTACATTGGTAAAAAAGAAAAGCAATAACATAAAAAAGGTGGAAAAAAGAAGAAGAGCTATTATGTTTTATACATACATCATCATACCTACATACCCACCTATCGTGGTTCAGGGTTTGACTGGGAAGGAGGTCAAGGTCGTTTCGTTTATCTAGAGAGAGGGAGTACCTCTCATCCATCATACCTTTTTCCTCACCTTGGGATAACTATGGCCTATACCTTCTATCCATGTGGGTATCTCTTTATCTCGATTTCAATTTCTATCTCTATCTCTATTTCTATTTCTTTTTTTGTCATCATTCTTATGAATCTACGCATCTGTTTATCAATTTACACTGTCTGCTTCGCTGCTCTACTCTCTTCTACACTTGCTATTCCATTGCAAGCCATGATAACAATGACTGACGATATGAAGATAATGATAATGATACGATTGACACCTTTCGATAGAGCAAAGCCCGGCGTGGTCTTACTGCGGACGGCAGAAGGTCAGAGGTAGTAGGTAGATTGAATAGGGCCTTTTCCAGGAGTATAGTTACTTGCTTATCTACCTAGGTACTGAGATATACTACGCGAGTCAAAGGGCAGAAAGTGACATTCTTTTGATTGGGGATATATATAGATAGATAGATAAATAGATATAAATGAATAGATAAATAGTGACAATCAAGTCGAGTCAAGACCACAATCACACTCATGGTCCTAGAACAAGATAAACCAGTACCAAAGTAGAACGAAGACCGGATATATAACGCCTAAACCCCACTCGTACCGGTCGTCCGGGGATCATCAAGATCGCGGTTAGAATTAGAAGTAGAAATAGTAGTAGTAGTGTGGTCAATCCGGCGCTTAGCGGTGAACAGGCCCGCAATGCCTCGCTCCTGGTTCTGGCCGAGCCAGGGCTTCCGGGACTCGCCGAGCAGACGACGACCGAGGAAGTAGATGAGCTGGCCGACGATGATGCAGACAAAGGCGATGGGGTACATCCAGTGGATGGTGTAGTGGAAGACTTTGATGCCGATGCAGACGCCCCAGAAGTTCATGGTCAGCATGGAGATGTTGAAGAAGGCGGCGGAGGAGAGGCGGAAGAGGAGCGGGGCCAGGGAGTAGAAGAAGGTCAGGCAGAGCGTGTATCCGGCTAGGTACCCGCCGACCTCGCTGTCCCATACGGCGGTGCGGAAGGAGGCCCGGTCGAAGATGCCGGCTTGGGCGCCGTTGATGAGCATCCCGAAGAAGGCCATCTGGCCGAGGACTTCGTAGACGGGGTGCGTGCTGACGAAGTACTCTTCGCCGGTGTTGGCCAGGCCGTAGAATGTGGCGCCTAGTAGGGCGAAGAGGTCGCCCTTGAGCTGGTCGCCGCTGGAGATGTTGCCGCCGTTGGTGCCCGTTAGGTGGTCCGATGCGATGAGGACGCCCATGCCGCCGATGCAGATCAGGATGCCCAGCACTTGCGAGATGTGGTAGCGTACGCGGAGGAAGATGAAGGAGACGACGACGACGACGGCGATCGCCCAGAAGTTGATCAGCTGCGCGCTGAGCATGGTGGTGTATCGGTACGCGAGCACGATGAAGTAGTTGCCTTCGACGTCACAGAAAGACAAGATGATATCTGTAAAGGTTTCCAAGGTCAGTGCCTGTGTTTCCTTTTGCGGGGAAGAGGGTCACACATTTCCAGCCGTGCTTGTACACCATTCGGGCCCAGCCCTTGATGCCGTACCGGTAGAGGGTGTAAGAAGTGAAGATAAGGTTGAGCAACACATAGTTGAAGAAGGTCTGGAAGGCCGGGATGGAGGTGCCTTTCTGGCTCAGCAGCGTACTGAACGTGCTGGTCGCCGTGTTTGCGATTGCCAGCAACTGACTATATTATATCGGGTTAGTCAATGGCCACTCCGATGCGGTCGACGGCACTCACCCAAGAGACAGGGTGATGTAGAACTCCTTGGTCTTGAAGTAGGCCAAGAACCCTTTCTTCTTCTGATCCAGCTGATCCGCGGGGGCCACCTCGGAGACGGATTCCTCGTCGCCATCCGCGGAATTGACATCCGGGGTCATCGCGGTCTGTTGCTTCGAGGGCTCGGCCAGTGGGTTGGCGGCGGTGACCCCCACAGAGGCGGTGTGGGTAATAACTTGATCTTTGCTATCTGACATGGTGGGATAGAAAACTAGCGACCGTGAAGAGTTGCAGATTCCTAAGGTTCAGTAGTAGCCGCAATGGTCGCAAGACTTGACGTCAAGATCGAAGTGGTTCTCCGACACTGGAGGAGCCTGGAAGGTGGTGAAGCGTGAATGGGAGCTTTAAGACCAAAACGAGCGCAAAACTCCCGAAGTCGCCCGTCTAAGGTCGTGGAGAAGAGACACGCTCAAGAAGTCCAAAGGGATTGGACGTTGGAAGGAGAGCAACAATGCAACCTGAAGGAAGAAAAAAAAGGAAAAAAGAGGGGACGAGGTGGGATGCGACGAAGCCGAACCTTTCCTCTTTGGGATTTATTTCCAGGCCGCGCGAACCTCAGGCTGCCAGGCCGAGACCTGTTACTGCCGTGTAGTACCGCCTGCCTTGATGGGACATGGTTGTTGACACCTGAGGTGGACACCCGGACACCTGGTTATGCACGCCTCAGGCGTCCAGTGTCCAGGTGCGCTCGGACGCGACGATCAGGATCGTCGAGTCTTGATCCATGATGTTTGACGGCTGGAATGATGCCGATAATAGTATTAGATAGGGAGTCGTTTGGCAAACCTCAGCGAGAGAAGGTCCATGTATCGACCAATACGAAAGGAGTTTCCACATGGCCTTGTTGATGCCCAATATAGATCGACCCGATGCCTGATCCACCGTGAAGAAAAGACTGAATCCCGGCGTCATGACACGCATGGAAATTCCTCTCCCAGTTGTCGATCGATGTGAGCACCCATAGAACGCGGGGGAGATCAATTCTGGGTTGACCTATTCTTAGTATCACCGTCAGTTGCGAAGGAGGTAAGGACGGATTGTCTATTGTTCGGACATTAGGTAGTTACCGTCCGCTCAAGTGGGTCAGCCCCGGTTGGTTCGCACTTCTTTGTGCTTCGTCAATGAGGAAGCATCAAGGTAAATAAATAAGGTCAAAAGGTAATCAAGGAGTCAAGGGAGTTGAGCACAGGGGGAACAATCCGATTGATGGGGGTTGGAAGTAGCATTGAAGGATGAATTAGCGATCAGTATATATTGCTGGATATGGTCCTTCTAGCCTCTTTCTATAGAACCATCAGCGGGTCACGTCATTCCACGACTCCATCTGGATAGAATGAGAACAACACCAACCACCACTTCAACTTCAACTTCAACGACTGAACTATTTTTGGTCAGGATCCCTGGTTGGAGGCAGATCCTCCACCGGTAGTTATTACGTCGTTGTGGTATAATACTTCCGCCGCCTGAACACCTGATCGTTGGACATTGATCGATCCATCATTTGGATCGAGTTCTATCGCTTCTTCTTCAGTTTGGTCTGATCTCTTCTGGATGATTTTCTTTTCTGGATTCCCTCACTCCATACCCCAATCGCGGACTGATCTCATCCCTCCACGTCAATCGAGCCGAGTGGTACCTCGGACTATTGTTTGGGGGAGTCCCTTTGCGCTGTACTTCTGATCCGGTCGCGTGAGTGTTGGGATTTCCATGGAAGAGCAAAGAATCCTGTCCATCCAAGAAACCAGAAGAAAGAATCGGAATTTGAAGCCGAACCTGAATCAGGAGTAGGATCATTGTCCTCAGAAAACAAAGAGGTAGTGAAAGAAGAGAAGAACAAGAAGAAAAGGTCCAGCCTTCCCGACCGGCTTCTCCGCCTGGGGCAGCCAACCCGGACCAAACTTTGCCAACATCTCTAATCATACGGATTGATTTTCTTCCATCATCATCTTCTTCGATCGCTTCTTCCGGTTATCAACTCTCTCCATCCTCTCCTCCTTCTTCCTCCCCCGCTCTTTTCTTCCCTTCTTTTTCTTTTCTATTTGACTGTCCTTTCCCCTCTCTTTTCGCTTCTCCTCCCTCCCATCCCCAGTTCAATCTCCCACATCTCTCCGCGAATTCGGGGCTCTCCTCGCGCCGGTACGCTCGTCCCTGAGTTGTCCCGGAGTGACGAGACGCCACCTCGCCTTTCCCTCGGACCATGGCGTTGGATGCGCAATCCTCCTGCGATCGCAAGCGGGTCAAGGTTTATGAACTGCGTGATAATGACTGGTTCGATCGGGGAACGGGCTTTTGCACCGGTCAGAGCCACGACGTAAGTACCGGAGTCGCGCATCGCTTTGGGGATCCCCCCCAAACCGTCGGGCGCAAACGCTGCACCACCTCGGGTCGCGCCGATGATCCCTCCCACCATCGTTCCCCTCCCCTCTCTTCATCCGGCCGGTTGGTTCGGACTAACGCGTCGCTGGCATCGATCTAGGATGACTACCGTATCTTTGTCGAATCCGAAGATGAACCCGATCGCGTCCTCTTGGAGACGAAAATCTTCAAGGATGATGGCTATCAAAAACAACAAGGTCCGACCGGCGAAATCCCCCTCGCGCATATGATTCTGGGATGGAGGGTGATGCTGATCCGAGTGCGACGCTATTAGAGACCCTCATCGTGTGGACGGAAACCAATGGGACGGATATGGCTTTGAGCTTCCAGGAAGCCGAGGGCTGTTCGGTGATCTGGTAAGGCATCGCCGTGGGTGCCACTCGCGCTGTGCGCTGACACGGCTCGTCCAGGAACTTCGTCAATGCGGCGCAACAGCATCTGCACAACATAGCCGCCGCAGGTGAGACCCCCCTCCGTCGGTGGGAGCTGTCTACCGGGCCTACGCAGACTGACCGGGTTCCCTCTTTTCCTGCCTAGATGATGCCTTGTCCGACGATCTCGAATTCCAGCCCATCACCTTACCCGCCCCCGAGCTGGGGAACCTTCCGGAGATCGACCATATGATGCGAGCCGCCAGTATCACCCAGGCCGGTCGCGACGCCCTGTCCAAATTCGTCATCCGGGACGAGTACATCCCCAAGCTCTTACCCCTCGTCACCATGGCCGAGGACCTCGAGAGTCTTCCGGACCTGCATCGCTTGTGCAACATAATGAAGTCGATCATTCTCCTGAACGATAACACCATCATTGAGATGGTCGTCACCGATCCGATCATCCTGGGGGTAGTGGGAGCATTAGAATGTGCGTCTCCTTCTTTTTCTCTCTTCCGTTTTTCTTTCGTTGCTTCTAGCTTCAGAGTTTGGAGCCGCCGTGAACGCTGACAACCCTTAGATGACCCCGAATGCCCCACCCACAAAGCCAACCATCGGCAATACCTCGCGGACCAGTCGCGCTTCAAAGAGGTCGTCCCGATCAAAGATCCCCTCATCCGCCGGAAAATCCGCTATACGTGGCGCCTGCAGTATCTGAAGGATGTGGTCCTGGCACGCATACTGGACGACCCGACCTTCTCCGTTCTCAACTCCCTCATCTTCTTCAACCAGGTCGAGATCGTCAATCATATCCAGTCGAACGGCCAGTTTTTGAGAGAACTGTTCTCCGTCTTCGGCCCCCGCGCCCCCGATGCAAAACGCAAGGAGGATGCCGTGCAGTTCCTCCACCAGTGTGCCGGTATCGCGAAGAACCTGCAGGCCCCCGCGCGGGCCAACCTGTTCGCCAACTTCATCACCAACGGCCTCTTCGCGGTCATCGCCTTCGCCATCAAGCACCCAAACCCGTCGCTGCGGACGACCGGTATCGACATCCTCGTGGCGCTCCTCGACCACGACCCGATCATGATGCGCGGCTATATGCTGCGGGCCGCCAGCGAGAAGAGGACCCCCCTGACCGACACGCTCATCGATCTGCTCCATGTCGAGTCGGACTTGGGGGTGAAGAACCAACTGGCGGATGCCGTCAAGGTCCTGCTGGACCCCCAGATCCCCATGCAGGATCCGATGGGTCGCATGGGACCGGACCAGTATGCCAAACGGCCCGGCATCCTCCCGGAGGCGGCGGTTCAGGCCCATTTCGAGGAATCCGCCAAGCGGCTCTTCATGCCACTGAAGCGCCTCGAAAACCGTGCCACCCGTAAGTGCCCCTGTGGACGGGGTTGTGATTTGTCGTCGGGAGCTAACCATTGACCACCGCAGTGAACGATTTGACCTTCCAAGAAGTCGCCTTGCATTCGCACCTTGTTGACATCCTCACCTTCTTCGTCCGTCAACACCTCTACCGTAGCCGTAGTGTCATCCATAACGAAGCGCTGGCTCCTCGTGTGGCCAGGCTCCTCACCGTCCCCCAGAAACATTTGAAACTGAGTAAGTGACCCGACGCTTCCCGCGGAAACCGTCTAACCCGATCGATTGTAGCCGCCTTGAAATTCTTCCGCTGCCTGATCAGCCTCCAGGACACATTCTACCAGGCGCTGATGACGCACAACAACACGTTTGGACTGATCCTGGACATCGTCTACGAAACGATGCCCCGCGACAATCTCCTCAACTCGGCTTGCCTGGAGCTGTTCGAATGTATCAAGCGGGAAAACATCAAACCGTTTGTCCTGCACGTGGTGGAGAAATACGGCGAGAAGCTGAAGAACATCACCTACGTGGATACTTTCCAGAGCTTGATCCTCCGCTACGAGCAGATGCAGGGCTACGGGGCCGAGGGAGACTCCGCCATCCTGTCGTCGCAGGAGGACATGACGCCGACCCGTGGGATACCGGCCAACGGGCAACGCTGGCAGGGGGTCCGGGAGATGGATTCCGCGGAGGAAGAGTACTTTAACACATCTGATGACGAGGACGAGGTAGGCGCACCGTTCCGCATGGCATTGTCGATGTATACTGACGATCGACTACAGTGGCCACAGGGCCAAGGGCCTAATGCAACAACGGGCGCCCAGACATCCAACGGCGTGGTCTCACCGGTGGTCAAGCCGCTGGTGGATTACCCCGATGATGACGATGACGACGCGATGGACACGAACCCGGAAGCCGAGGCGGAGCAAAAGTCAGCATCCCGAGACACCGACCTGCCATCCCACGATCCGGCCACCGACTCCCCCGAGTCACCCTCGACACCGGTATCCCAAGTGGTGCAGACCCCGCCGGAACGACTGTCGGAGAAGCGACGACGAGAAGAAGAGGACGACGACGAACTCGTCAAGTTGACGTCGGGCCCCAAACGCAGAAGCTCGACGAACGCTGGACCTGGGAGTGCGGGACTTCTCCGGAGACAGCGGACGATCTCGTTTGGGTCTGCGTCTGGTGGCAGCGACAAGGCGGCGGCCGCGCAGGGCACATCGGGCGGTGGTGGAGGTGTCAGCGCAGCACCCAAGCGGATCGCGATCAACCTGGGCTCCGCCAACAAACCTTCGCCATCAGACACGAGCCCTACGACCCAAACATCTAGCGAGAAGGAGAACCAGGGCCAGGAAGCCAACCGCGAACGTGAATGATCTACCGATTACGATGTTCCATTTCATGTCTTTGATGGTAGTGCTCTCACACCACCTGTGATTTGTGTTATCTGCCAGCATCAGCCGTGTTTTGTCCGTGCTCGGAGTTTTTTTTTGACCGTGTGGGTTTTACGACAGTTTTTCTAGATACCACCAGATGGAGTGATGATTTCGTCTTTTCTTCTTACTTCTTACGTCTTCTCTTCGACCAATTGTACGATTCCCTTTTTTGTTGTCTCATATATTATTTCTGCCTTGGTGGTCTGTTTAGATATCATGTAAGAGGTTCCCCTTTGGAGATCTCAGGTCTGTTTCTTTCTTATTTCTTCCTTTCGCCACCTGTTCCTTTGGCCTGTTGTACATTTACCTATCTTTCTCCTCGTCTCCCTGATTCACGGGTAGGAGTCAGGCCGGTGAAACCGACGGACTGCGATGGATCAGTGGACATCTGCATTTCCGGGGTCTATCTAGGCGATACTGTTTCTTACGTCGTTTCTTATTCAAGGCTTTTAACGACTGGCGTAAATGGTTCTGAGGTGGATGCGCCGTCCATGGCTATTTGCATTTCTCTGCAGAGATATTGAGATGTGATTGCAGTGTACATGGTGTCCGCAGCGGTAATCAGTTTCCTTATATTTACTACCTATTAGTAGATTTCAATTTTAATTGTAGAGAAAGAACCATATATTGACTGATGTAAGGTTGATATAGTATATCAAGGTTTATTGATTTCCTAAACCAGACATTCGAGAAGCCCGGGAGAATATAGTGGACTGGACTGACTGAACTACCCGAAGCCGCGGGAGTCAGTTCCCGTCCGACTACTTCATCCCTCCCATACCCCATACCCACTCGACAGGTACCAGACAAACAACACCACAACACCACATGAAGTTATCATGGATACCCAATTACAGCCAGATACACACATCTCACCCGACCGCTTCAAGCGCACAATTCTCCCAACCCAACAGGGCGCAGAGGCAGAGGCAGATCACTCCCCAATAGTCATCTACATGATCAGCGGCAACCCAGGCCTAATCAGCTACTACCATACCTTTCTCTCGACACTCGCAGATAGACTATCTTCTCTGTGCACCAAGCAGGACATCCCTAATCAATTCCACATCTACGGCCACAGCCTGGACGGATTCGAAGTTGAAGAATCCTCGCCCAACAATGGCAATGGCAACGGCAACCCCAGCACCACGCAGCCCTGCAGCCTCGAAGAGCAAATCTGCTTCGTCCAGCGCAAGCTAGACTCCTTCATTGGGGGCTTAGAAGCAGGGCCGCGCAGAGCAAAGGTCATCCTGGTTGGCCATTCTGTAGGCTCGTATATTGCGATGGAAGTCCTACGCCGACACCGCGAGCGCTCCGATGCGAACTCTGCGTCGTCGGGCGCTGTCGGGTTTGATATTATCGGGGGAGCTATGCTCTTTCCTACTGTTGTGGATATTGCGCTGTCGCCGTCGGGGCGGAAACTTACTGTAGCTCTCTCTCTCCATATACCCCTCTCTCTTGGTAGTGATAGGCTGACACATAACAGAGCATCCTCTCTTTCGTACCGCAGCTGGCTCTGCTAGCCGGTATATTCGTCCGCATCCTCGTCGCCTGCGTACCGGACTTGATACTCCAGTCCCTAGTGAGATTCTACATGCAGTCCGCCTCAGACGAAATGGTCACCGCGACAACGTCGTTCATCAAAAGCAAGCGGGGCGTGCGACAAGCTCTGTATATCCCCCTTCCCCTCCCCCCTCTCCCATTCATCTCCATCCTATAGCCAAAACTAACAAAAAGCCTAGCCACATGGCCGCCGACGAAATGCAAACCATCACCGCAGACAAATGGTCCGACGACGTCTGGGGCGTGCCGGGCGCGGGGGAACCACTAACCCGTCTGTTCTTCTACTTCGGTCGAAATGACCACTGGGTTGCGGAGCGGACGAGGGACGATATCATCCACATGCGGGGACGGCATGTAGCTGGGGGGCCGAAGATGGTTGTTTGTGAGGAGGGGTTGCCGCATGCTTTCGTTTTGAGTACGTTCTTCCCCCTTTTTTTAGCCTTCTATTTTTTCTGTTCTGTTTGGTGATTTTTGTGACGGTGGGTGGTGCTAATGGTTTATAGAGCGTGGTGATACTGATGTGATGGCGACTAAGGTGGCGGGTATGGTTATGGAGATTGTGCAAAGGGGTTGATATTCACCGTTGTATAGATAGATAGCATATGCATAATGTATATAGAAATGGAAATAGAAGATAATTCGGTCATGTTGATTTAATCCACCACATGCAAACTGGGTATCTATTCGTACGCCTCGACCTGACTCACCGACCACGCATGAACCATGCATATATCAATGATAATAGAAAAGAACATGAAGGAAAGGAAAGGATGTTATAAGAAGAAAAGGAAACAATCATTGCACCGGTCCATCCTGATACGCTAGCCCCGCCTTCCGGAACAAACTCCCCAGGACATCCCCCTGCGGCTGTGGCGGCGCCGGGGGAGCTGCAGCAGCTGCAGGAACAGGCCCGGGATACCCAAGGGGCTGTTGGGGCTGGTGAAAGTGCTGCAGTAGCATCTGCTGCTGGTGTTGTTGCTGGTGCTGCAGAATTTGCTGCTGGTGTTGTTGCTGCTGCAGTAGTTGCTGCTGCTGCAACTGTTGCTGGCGCATTTGCTCGAACTGCCCTTCCGCAGGCCCCAAATGATGCGCCCTCACACTCCACCCATCGTCATGAGCCCGCTGATGCCCGAACAGATCCTTGAGGGAAATCTGACGACCCATGGGCACACTCTCCTGGACTTCCTCCAGCGGCGGGGTAGTCGTCGCGGTGGCGGCCGCCGCCTCGTGCATGCCGTCCTGACGGACCGCTTCAAGACGCTCGCGGGCGATTTTGAGACTGTGCCCCGCGTGGACGGCACACTCGCGGACCACCTCCGCGTTGATGGTGCGCGTCTCGGCGGTGGAGTTCGGCGGGGGCTCGGAGTAGATCCAGAGGCCGTAGATGCGGATGGGGTCGGTTTTGGCGTTTCGGGGGTTGGAGGGGGCGGTGCTGTTGTTGCTGTTGCTGTTGCTGTTGCCGTTGGGATTGGGGTTGGAATCGTAGGTGATGTCGGTTTTGAGGATGACGTATTCGTCGGTTAATTCGACGTTGTCGCCATCTGTGAGGGGTACGTCGAAGTTGGTGAGACCGCGGCGGTTGAGCACGAAGACGGTGTAGCGCTCTTCGCCGAGGGGGCCTTGCGACAGCTGGCAGACGAAGAGTGTGCCTTCTATGCCGCTCTTTTCCCACTGGCGAGAGGTCGCGCTGAAGATGTAGACGACGGCATAGGGGGCGAGTGAGAGGATGTTTTGGATGGAGGGGTTGTGACGGCGGAGGACGGCGAGGTTGAGCTCTTCGTTTGTCCGGAGCGGAGGAGGGATTGGGGGGGAGTCTTGTTGGTCGGTCATTGTGGAGGGTGTGTGTTATTGGTGTTGCGATGTGGGTTTCGTGATCATGGTGTTGTTAAATAGGAAGAGAAGAGGAAGTTGGAGAATGACGATCGGATGTGGGAAAGCGGTCAGCGGAGCATCTTGGCCGGCTTCATCCTTCGCTCTCTCTCTCTCTCTCTCTCTCCCTTCTCCCTCTCTTATTCATTTCTCCCCCTCACTTTATACTATTCGAGAAACCTCGTTCGGTCATTCCTGACTACCCATGTTGATCTGAGAAAGTATGTGATCTCGGTGGTGTCTGTTCTCCTGTTGGTGTCCACCTGCAGGCCATGTCACCGCCAACGTCATCCCGGCGCAACAGTATAGTGCCTGCTATGCTGTCCCTCCCATTGATGATCCTTCTCGCCTATGGATTAAGACTGGAACTGACCCTTCGTTGAAGGTCTCTCTACCCATGGATTCTTCGGATTCTCGTTGAGCGCCACGTCCATCTCGTTCCGATACACTGCGCGGTCGGCATACCACCATCTCCACGGCGGACTTGCGCCGAGCCTCACTCCTGCTCTCGCCTCCTGTATATACAGGCAATGATTGTAATTACTCCTCGAACCTGAGCATCACAATGGCTACTACCGAGCGATCAACGCCGAAATCCCCCCACTCCTCGTCCGACAGCGACGAGCGGCCTCCTTCCCCCGAAGCCACCCCCGATCCGTCGTCGCTCCCCCAAGTGCTGAAATCGAGAAAGTCGGAATACCTTCGTCAGCAGTCGGTGCGCATTAAGGTCGGGACATGGAATGTGGCCGCCATCGCAGGCACGGAGGAGGACGTTGCGACGTGGTTCGTGCAGTGTAGGGGTATCTGCGAGCAACTGTCTGGGCTGACAGTGTCGAACCCCGACGGGAAACCGGACGGCAAAAGACACGTCTCAGGCCCGGGCTCTGGACATCGCCCCGAACCAGCGCCCGAAGATGTCGGCCTTTTTGTCCTCGGCCTGCAGGAGATCGTCGATGTCTCGTCACCGACGGAAGCGCTGCGACCCTACGTGGACCAGGGTCCCGCAAGTAGGTGGAAAGCGGCGGTCCAGGAGGCCCTGCCGCCGGGTTACAAACTCGTCGCGGAGACCCAGTTAGTAGGTCTGCTGCAGTTGATCTACGCAGCGCCGTCGCTGGCCGACAGCGTGTCGTCAGTTAGCTGTGTCAACGTCGGCACCGGGCTCCTGGGATACATGGGCAATAAAGGCGCGGTGGCGACCCGTCTGACGCTCGGGGAGACCACCTGTCTCGTCTTTGTTAATTGCCATCTGGCGGCAGGGTCGGATAAGGGGAGCCTGGAGAGACGGAACTGGGACGCTGCCCAGATCGCTACCCGCGCTCGGTTCGAGCCCATCGACTCCAGTAGGAGTCTCCGCGACGGCCCCGCCGAGACGATCGGGCAGGAAGACTTTGCGTTTTGGTTCGGTGACCTCAATTATCGGCTCGAAGATATCCCCGGGGCCGATGTGCGACAGGTGCTGGCTCGGCATACGGAGAACGAGTATGACAAAACGCACCAGTCGTCGCATGGGACCAAAGATCCGTCCAATCCGTCCGAGGGTGCCGTAGACGAAGATAAAACGCCGCCTACTCCCCCGTCGCCTGTGGAAGATGAAGACATAGACCCGCACTTTGATCCGGCATCCCTCCAGACCACCATATCATCGCTGCTTCCCCATGACCAGCTGCACCTGCAACAGAGCAACCGCAAATGCTTCCACGAGGGCTGGCGAGAGGGAGATATTTCGTTCCTGCCGACGTACAAATACGACGTAGGGAGCGTGGCGAGGTTTGATTCGAGCGAGAAGAACCGCGGCCCCAGCTGGTGTGATCGCATCCTGTATCGCTCGAATAAGGACATGCTCGACCACCAACGATCGATCAAGGAAGCCGAAGAGGCGCGAAAGCGCGACGAGGAGATGAAAGCCAGGGGCGTGGACAAGGCCGTTGCCGACGACAGCGTCCTGTTTGACTATGATCCCGACGTGGACGGCGCCGATAGCGGGGACGACTACTCTCCTGTCAAAGACCAGGCCAGTGATAGTGATTCGCTGTTCGCGCCACCCGACGACCCAGAGTTGGATCCCCTCCACCTGGACTACTACCTTTCCCACCAGGGTATTTTATCGTCCGATCACAAGCCGCTTGTCGCTGGATTTACCATTACTTTCCAGTCGGTGGACCCGCAGCTCAAAGCCAAGGTTCATCAGGAAGTGGTGCGGGAGCTCGACAAGGCGGAGAACGAGGCGCGGCCCGGCCTCACGGTGGTGGTGGACCATCACGGCGCGCCCAAGGGCGCCGAGTCGGATGACCCCAACGCGGTCAACTTTGGCAACATCGCCTTTGACGTGCCGGTGCGCCGGACACTGGTCGTGGCCAACACCAGCGGAGTCCCCGCCACGTTCTCCTTTGAGAAACCAGAACGGGACGATGGACATGACCACAGCATGCCGTCCTGGATTGACTACCGCGTAGACTCACCCGGCCACTCTTCGGCGGAGCACAAGGGTTCGGAGCCTCACGACTACATGCTGTCTCCCGGAGAGCTAGCCAACATTGAAGTGACGGCTCACGTCGGTAACATCGAACTGGTCCGGATGCTCAACGACGGGCAGATCAAGCTAGAGGAGATCCTGGTCCTGCGAGTCGCCAGCGGCCGCGACCATTTCATCTCCGCATTTGGGCGGTGGCTGCCCACGTGTTTCGGCCGCAGCCTGGAAGAGCTTACCGTCATGCCCGAAGCGGGGGCGCGCACGCTGCCAGCGGTAAAGCTGGCCGACCAGCCGGACCACAAGGTTCCGCTGTCGGCGCCCCGCGAGCTGTTCCACCTGACAGACGCTATCTCGGAGCTGACCGAGCGCGCCGTCGCGGAATGGAGCATGACGCGAGGCGAATCGGAGGAGACCCCACCGTGGTGCCGGGAGCCTGCCGGGTTTGGGTGGCCTTTCGCCCCGGAGACCTGGACGCTGGAGGACGGCGAGGAGCGCACGCATTTGCTGGTCTCTGCCCGAGAGGCAATGGACACCAACCAGCCCTTCAGTGCAGTCTTCGCACCAGAGGTCTCGTCCCTGCACCGACTAGAGGCTCTAAGCGAGACGCTCGTAATGTTCTTGCAGTCATTGAAAGGCGGCATCGTCACAGCGGACGTCTGGCGCAAGCTCGACGAGCAGATCGTCGCCCGGGAGAAGTCCAAAACCCCACCGATGTCCTGGGAGGAATCCCAAGCCTGGGTGCTGGAAAACCTCGCCTATTCCCCAGCCCACAGCATCTCCTTCACCTTCGTCACATTCATGCTCGCGCGCATCGCCAACGAAGTGGCCCCATCCTCCGCCATGCTAGCGCGCTCTACCGCGGCAGCCAAACAGCAAGACCTAAGCAATCCCGACACCTCCACATCCACCACCACCCCTCCAACCAGCGGCTCCTCCGCCGCCGCAGCGGCTAGCTTCATCGCGGGGGGCATCCGGCGCAAGCGCACCTCCACCTCCGCCTCCCAGGGGGCGGTGAACCCGCTCGCCGTGCGCCGACAGGCCGTCGAAGCTGGACTGTCCGCACTCTTCGCGCACTTCCTCATCGCGTCAGGGGGAACCACGCCTAGCAAGGAAAAAGAGCGTCGCGCGGTAGACGAGCGCAAACGGAGTATCATCGAGCCGTTTTTGAAGACGATCGGAGTGGATAACAATGGGCCGTCTGGGGGGATTTCATAATCCCCTTCTCCTATCGTTCCTCTCTTCTTTCCTTTTTTTTTTTTCGATTTTGCCTTGTCGTGGCCAGTTGGCTCAGCTGAGACTGGACTTGCGCTTTTTTATTCGGAAATAGAGCTGTATATTAGTGCTTTATATTTTCCGTGCTGATTAGAAGGGGCTGTTCGGGTATATTGGTGGTTTACTAAAGTCAGGTATTAGTATAGACGATTGGGTTTGGATGGATGTATATAGCTATATACAGCTTATGAAAATGCACAGCATTACTCAAATATCCCAGGTGATTGAACTAAATATATCATTGAGTGTTAGTACCTATTTACTTAAGTATGTACTATATCCCCAGTGGAAGAAATATAAGTCAGAAAATATGGCAATGCGTTACACGTAACTATATATTGTTGAATACTAAGACCCTAGCACTCGCCAATTGGAGTTGTTGGTCGAATGGTGAACATGCAAGACATGCTAACATATAACAAGATATACCCCCAACAAGCCATTCAACCTAAACCCCCAATCCATCAAACAGCAACCACACTACTACAAACTACAACTTACTAGTAGTCCCCGCCCCCCTCGGAATCCCAAACCTCGAAATATCCTCCCCAGTCCCCCATCAACCGCCAACTCCGCAAGAACCCTCCCAAAAGCAGGAGTAAACTTAAACGCATGAGCAGCGCCCAACCCCACAATAACATCCGGATGCTCCTCCAACGGGGCAATCACAAACTGCCGATCCGGCGTAATACAATACTGACAAGTAACAGTGCGCAGCGGCTTCCTCCCCTCATCGGGTATGAATCCGCGCATGAATCCATCCAACTGATCCTGCAGCTGCGCGGAGGGGACAAACGTGCGCTGATCGGGCGCCATGAAGTTGTTGGAGGTATCGCGGGCGGCTTTGATAGTCGGCTCGCCGTAGGTAGGGAAGCCGTAGAAGGCGGGGTCGGCGCCCCAGATCCAGACGGGGAAGTGTGCCGGGTTGAAGGCGGTGGGGTCGGTGGGTTTGAAGTATGTGACTTGTTCTTGCATGGTGGTGAGGGGGATGTGAACGCCTAGGGGGGCCAGGAGCTTGTTGGTCCAGGCGTCTGTGGCGAGGATTACCTTTTTGGCGTGGTATTTGTTGGTGTTGGTGTTGGTGGAATTCGTAGCTGTCTCGATGAGGACTCCTCCGGAGGGTTGAGGGGTGACTCGCTCGACGGGCATGTTCTCTTTGAGGAGGGCGCCGTGGGTACGGGCTTGGTGCTGTAGGAGGGAGACGGTTTTGGAGGCGTGGGCGATGCCCGTGTCGGGCGTGTAGACGGTGTCGACAGAGTCCGGGATATCAAACTGAGGCCAGCGGCGTTTGACCTCCGCCGCGTCGAGAAGCTCGTAGGGGACGCCCGTGTCGTGGAGGGTCTGAGCGAGGGTGTCAAACGGGGTGGACATGTCCCTCGGGACGAAGACAACGCCGCCGGTGATGGTCAACAGTTTCTGACCGGTGACTTGCTCCAGCTCGGCCCAGTCCTTGTACGCGGATCTAGCGAGCGCCACATACTCTGGGAGCGAGTTGGAGGTGCGCACGATGCGCGAGGTATCGTGGGAGGCGCCGCGGACGTGGCCGAGCTCGAATTGCTCGAATGCGATGACTGATTTGCCGCGACGAGCGGCGTAGTATGCTGCTGCGCTTCCGAGGGCGCCTAGGCCGACGACGGCCACGTCGTATTGCTGCATTGTGGTGTCTTAATTGGCTTGGAGGTTGGAGGATGGATGTTGGGTATGTTGAGGGCAGTTGTGCGCTGGCATGGGCCATTTATCTTCTCATACTCCGGGACGCACGGAGGAGGGACCGTCCACGTGATGATAGCTGGATGGCATCATGATTCGGTTCTTGAACTGGTCTGTGGCGATCGTGAGGGTGGATGTGTATCGTGATGTGTTGTATGCGGGGTTGGAGAGAGATGCCCGGGCCGGGAATGGGAGCGGGCCGCTTCCGCCCGTCTGGACAATCTCTACAAGAAGGCTCTAGAGATTCATGTACTGTCTGATGGAACAGTCTAGCTTGTGCACATCTTGTCTGGTAGAGCTCTATTGTCAGATGTTGGTATGCTGAAAACAAACGCCATGACTCGAGACCTCACGCAGAATATAGAGAAGTACCATAGTCTACAGCCCTGTAAAAAGTGTAGGATGCCCAAGTACATGACCACGCCAGAACAACCCAACCAGAGCACCCCGATCAGAAGAGCATTGATATAGAATTAATAATGCTTTAACTAATGAGCCAACCAGACCTCAATCATTCTCCCGTATCGGTTTCAGTGCCTTCCCCTCGACATCACCCTCCTGGGTTGATCTATCCCGCCTCGTGCGCCTCGAGGACGATGGTGATCGAGAAGACGAGTTTACCTGGGATCCCTGAGCTGGAGAAGCCTTCCTCTTGCCCTTGTTCCCTGGGGGACGCTTTCCTAGGCGGGTCGGAAACGAAAGGAGTCCCGACACACGCCGTACCAGCCGTGCGGGGAGAGACGCCAACGACAGGAAGAACTGCACTGGGACCAAGACAGCGGCGCACAGAGAGTCAAAGACGACGTGGAAGAAGCCTCGGGGCTGGCGATGGGCCGCAGCCGCGAGCGACACCGCGTCGTTGACATGTCGCTCGACGGCTTGGAGCCGGCCGTCCGTCTGGTAGCCCGAGATGGCGGTGCGTTTCTCGTAGCGTCGGACGGCGCGGTTCAGGGCGTCGATGTCGGGCTGGATGGTTTTGCGGACTTCAACACTGGCCTGAGTGACCAGCTTTTCCATGTCCAAGGGTGTGTCCGCGTGGTCAGCGCCTTCCGCGGTAGAGCGCAACCGTTGCGCGGCGGTTTCGGCGACGTGCGCCTCGAGTTCTTCCAGCCGTTTGGTCAGATCCAGGATCTTGTGCGCATCGATGCGCTCACTGTCTGGGTCGTCGAATTCGTCCGAGTCGAGGACGATGCGCTGGAGATGGAGCGTGCGCGCTTGGACCATCTTCAAGAGGTGGGAGGCCGGACGGATCTCCGAGGCCAAAAGGAAGATGGTCAAGTTGTAGTTGGAGACGAGGCCCTCGGAGGGGCGCGAGAGCTGGGAGCGAATCGTGTGTAAGAGCAAGGTGCCGACAATCGGAAAGACAAAGCACATGACCAAAGCGGCGAGTTCGTGTCTCATCAATTCTTTGCGGGCTGCTGCCGCGTCCGACGATCTCTGGCGACGTTTGTCCTTGTCGACACTACTAGAATGGGCATCGTCGCCGCCGGTTTTGTCCGTGGTGTCGTGACCGTCGACATCCGGAGGGACCTCTGCTACGTCATAGTACTTATCTTGTCGTTGTTGAAGGGTGGCCTGTGCAGAGCGATACCAGTCCCTGGCGGGGTTAGCGGGGGACTGTATGAGACCGGGTAAGGGATCATCTCAGCACCAACATACCATGGAAGCCTGACGGACCAGTTCAGAAAGATGGCAGCTATCACCAGCAGGGTCACATCGGTGACGATCGCACTCCCATCCTTGAAGAAGAGGCCCGCGACCGCTGGTAACAAGGCCAAGCCCAGGGGGAAGGATTGCCAATGCGACTCGTCCGGGGTCGCGACGCGCTCACTGCGTGCGGGGGCGCGGGGAAGGAAGAGATCGTCAGTCGAGGAGCGTAGGGAACGACGGGCGTCGGAGACGGTATCCGACAAAATGGAGTTGCGACGTTGCGCCTGGGATGGTTCTAAGTGAGCCACCGTGGCGGCGCGAACTGGACCCCGATGGCGCAGTCCGGGGGGTGGTGAGGGTCCGTGGGGAGACATGGACTGGACCGGAGAAGCCAGGGGGCGGGCCATCCATACGTTGTCACCTATTGATTGGGGGGTTGCTATAGAATGAGGCCCATAGGAGGGGTGTTCCACTGGGGTCTCTCGCGAAAGAGACGAACAGGAAGTATATCTGAAGAGAGAAGGAAGAGAGAAGGAAGGAAGAGGCGATGACGGTGAAGATGACGATGTGGAAATGCCCTGGATAACTCCATCTATGAATGGATGACTAATGGTGCATGCACTGATGACTCAGGTCTGACTTATCATGGCGGCCACGCGCCCTGGCAAGCCCTAACTGAGCAACTGGAGCGGAGTTCCGATCTAGATATGATGGATCATGCTTCTAGATAGATAGTGGCGCTCATGATGTTTCCTGTGAGGCTGCGGCTGAGGGTTCCTCCACCTCTGGGTGGGGTAGCTGCCTGGTTGGGGCCAAATCAGGTAGGATCCATGGGTCTTATAGTGTAATACTTAGTACTTTCTGGTATATTAGCTGCATCCATCCAGAGTCAGAATGACACACGTTACAAAAAGAAAAATAAACAATAACAAGACAGAACAAAATAGGATAATTGATCATTTTGATTGCACAATGCTGAGCGCATTACCCCTCGAGCTCCTCTTCAACATAGTTGAATCCCTCCCCAGATCTAGCCTGGCAGCCCTGGCTCGCACGGAAAAGGGGCTCGCAAAATCATTGACTCCGCAGCTATACAACGACGCCGTCAAGTGGGAATTCCATCGAGATGAAATCAAAGAATATGTGTTCAGAAGAAATATCCCAAAGGACGACCAACAAGCAGAAGAAACAGAAGAAACAGAAGATGAATTCTCCGACTCCGACGAAGATTCCGTCACGACCTCGTCTGGCACCACGGATACGCCGTCTTGCGCCTATGCGTTTGGCTCTGCTAAGCGCTGGCATTCAGATTTGATCCTAGACTATTGTCGTTCGCTGTCAGCAGCCGCACTCGCTGGCACCTGCGACGATAGGGACTGGACGCTAGTCCATGTCGCCGCGCAGTCAGGAAACATCGACTTGGCAGAGATCGCCATCAGCAAGGGTATACCCCTGAATGGTGCAAATCACGACAGTGATAGCCGCTGCAACCGCACCTGTCCACTCGTCTTAGCCATACAAGCGGGGCACGAGGCCATGGTATGGTGGCTCATCGAGCACGGCGCAAACGTCACTGGGCCGGTCCACGTCGACGGCGAGAAGGGAAACATACTGAGCCAGGCGGCCTCCTACGGCTCGACTGCCCTTTTGCGTCACATCATCGAGGCCAAGCGACGCGACCTTCCTCCAGACGACGTCACCTTCTCCGAGGAGCTCAGCCGCTTTGGTCTGTGCTATGCTGTTCTTGCCCCCATCAACCGGTACCGCCTCCCCGCGATCCGACTACTTTTGGACGAGGGGGCCAATCCATGCACGTCACACACAGACGACGTAGCCAGCACGCCGGTGGTCGTCCTGGCGGCGCTAAACCGAAATCTCGAAGCCCTCAAACTCCTCCTCGACCGAGGCGCGGACATCAACTCGACCGGCAGAAACAAGACCACTGCCCTGATGAACGCCGTGGAACAAGGCTACGACGAGATGGTGCACCTGTGTCTGGACCGGGGCGCCGACCCCACCGCGTGCCAAAGCACCGGGCAGATGACGCTGTCGTTTGCAGGCGAGAGCGGGCTACCCTGGGACACGGTGCAGCGGCTTTTCTTCGCCTTTCTCGACGCAGGGGGAGATTTGAATTCCATTGAAGCGGAAGAGCCATTGCCACAATTTGAGAGGACGGGGAACCCCGCGCCCTACTACTTGCCTCTGCACAGCTTTGTCGCCACTGGCCGCATTCCAGCCGTCAGGCTGCTCCTGCGACATGGGGCGGACCCCCTTGCTAAGGGCATAGTCGGGGCCACGGCGCTGCACGTGGCCATGAACAGCTATAATAAAAAGCCGCTGCTCTTTGGGGATATCGTAAAGGAATTGGTGGACGCTATCAAACGGGCTGGGGGAAGTCTCGACGACGGGGTGACAACGGACTCGACCTACTTTTGGGACCCGCGGGGCTCCACGGCGCTGCATATAGCCGCTAGACAGAACGCACTGGGTGTGTTACGTGTGCTACTTACGAACGGGGCGGACGCGACGACCTTGGATAGCTCCGGTCGCTCGGCCCTAGACTATGCGACACAGTGGCGCAATAAGAAATGCGTTGATTTGCTGTCGAAGGCTATAGAATCGCATCGAGTGGGTGCGAATTAAGTCTTGTCTTTTCTATCTTGCAGCAGTTTAAATCAGTAAATTCAGGTTGCGGTCTATATTCGTCTATATCGTTATGTGGTAATATCTAATAATCAAGATAGCCTTGCCCAACGCCAGCTCTCATGACGATGCCATAATGCCCAAGGACAGATGTCCAGCATCCGACCGGAACCACTACATGAATCATTGCATATGAAAAGAGCCAGCTCCAACTCACGGGACATACACCATGGGCTCTGACCCATCTTCCGACTGGTATTTGTCTCGCGCCACGCGCCGATTATGGAAGATATACACGAGGACCTGCACCACCGCACTGGCGATTCCGACAGCCACCATGATGATCATAGTGCGCAGACCTTTGGAGTAACTTGAGAAGGATCAGAGAGAGCCACAAAGACAGGGGGAGATATGGTCAACATACAGTGGCTTGTCAGGGGCCTGGAAGTACTGCGCTCCGGCCATTAGCCCGGCAATTGCAGACATTACCCACATCCTGATTTGTGATTAGTCTTGTATTCGAGCTGGATTAAGTGTCGGACATACGCAATACTGATACTTCGCTCCCTGGGATCGCGACAGTTGAGCTGCACCCAGGAGTTATGGACAGGGTGATATCCAACAGCGAAGCTGTTCACGGCCGTCCACAGGCCCCACCGGGACCACTTGCCGACATGGGGCTGGACTAGGAGGGCGACTATGAGAACCACGAGGTAGCAGACCTGGGCGGCGATGACGGTCCCACCGCGCATGTTGGTCCTGTCGCTCAGATAGGCGAAGAAGAATACGACGAAGAGTGCGAGGAATGCGCCCACTGCGGCTAGAGCGTTGGCTGCGACGCGGCCGAACCCAAGCGACCTATGTCCACGTCAGTTCTGATCTATTGGATCCCTGTTAGGGGGATTCCCGGAGCTGTCACGCACATGATAATGGACGGCGTGTAAGTCGTCAGAGGACTCCACGTTGAAAACACCACAAAGGTGGAGATAAAGTGCGGCCAGCGATAGTACTGGGATACTGTGCGCCAGACGATCTTGAGAGGAATGACCAGGCCTTGAGCGCCTCCTCGATTCTCCCCCGCTAATCTTTCCTGCAGTATTTGCTGGTCTGCGTCGGTGAAGCGGATGAGCCCCGGGCTCAGTAAGGGCTTGGGACAGTCAGGTGACCCCGGTATGAAGAAGAGGAAAACGATCGAGACGGAGATAGTGAAGGCTCCTTCAACTGTGTCTGGAGTCAGCGCTGGCTATTTGCAAGCCGGGTTTTCATATACATACCCAGGAAGAGCCACTGCCACCCCGTCAACCCTTGTCGACCATTGAGCTGCAAGATGCCCGAAGCCAGGAGTGGACTGCAAGCATTCCCACCAAACATCCCAAAGAAGAAGATTGCGACACGCTTGGCGAGCTCTGACTTCGTGTACCATGTGGACAAGGTATAGACAGCCCCAGGGATATAGCCCGCCTCGGCAAACCCGAGCAGCAGGCGTGTGGCGATAAAGCCGCCCCGATTGCGGACGAAGACCTGCATGGTCGCGATCAGGCCGAAGACGAAGACCTGCGCTGCGAGCCACTTGCGTGGACCAACCTATTACATCACTATCAGTGTCTGTGCTCGTTCAAGGATTGGGTCGTGCGCACGCGTTGCTGGGCCATGTTGCACGGGATCTCGAATACCACGATGCCCATGAACATCAACTGGTTGCCCATGTTGACCGTGGCCTGATCGATCTTAACGGCTTCAAGAAAGCCTCCAGTCAATGCACTAGCGAGGTTCATGCGATCTAATTGGAAGACGAAGAGGCCGAGGGTAAGGAGGGGCAGCACGGTCAGGTCGACCCTGAGAGGGAGAATGGACATCAGCGAGGAACTTCATTATAGCTTCATTACTTCAGTAGCCAGGGTAGTAGTTACACACTTTCTGCGCGCCTTTCTCTCCTGATCCAGAGACCATCCCACGGTAGGCAGCTGGAAACATTGCGAATGGTTGGACGCATTGCTATGCGATCCCTGTTTCTCGGCATCTACTTTGATATCCATCATGGTGCCACAGTCACCGGTCGGCCATTGGTAAAACCCTATTTTCAGGCCTCTAGTAAAGATTATATGAGATGAGCAGACCCCAATTCCGAGTCCCAGGCACCGGACATAGTTAAGTATCGACCCCTGGTCGTCGGGGTCTGCTCATGGTGGCCCTATGACATGACTGATATCCAGTCCATATGGCGTGCTTGGATGGTCCCAGGATTCATGGACCAGGGTTCGGATAGCCAGTATAAGATTAAGCACCGCCCATGCGGACCCTGCTCAAAAACGTGGTTTTCACGAGGATCGTCGCAGGAGCCAAGGAGCAACCCCGGGATGGCTGCAGATTGCGTGACAGTCCCCACAACAAGCATCATCACCAAACCCCGTCGATAACAACAAAGACCGTCAACGGCGGGGTTTGGAGTCGGACGATACTCGGTGTTTGCGAGTCAGTAGAATAATATAACATAACTAACTGGAGAATGTACCTGATCTTTCTGCGCGCAAACTTTATCTCGCTTTTCAACTACATAGTATGGATTTCGCGCACGTTAAACGAGTGGCCGTCATCGGCGCGGGGCCCGCAGGAGCCATTGCCATCGACGCGCTGGCGCAAGAAAAGGCCTTTGACATAATCCGAGTGTTTGAGCGTCGGGAGGGTCCCGGAGGATGCTGGTTCGTCTGTGCCTCTGCTGTAAAGCTTTACGTTGGTCGCCGTAGCTGACATGACGGGGTGTCCTAGGGTCGGAGACTCATCGCGACCACCAACGCTCTCGAACTTCGAGTCCCTAGCCAAGCGAACAGCAGATGCGCCATTGGCAGTCCCTAAACGGCTGCCGGCGCAAACGCCAAAGACCGACCGGCCGCGCTTCGCGGAGTCGTCCATCTACCCGTACCTGGAGACGAATATCGACTCCATCCCCATGGAATTCAGCCAGGAGCCGTTCCCCGAAAACCGCAGCGAGCTGTCGATATCGAATTACGGACCGAAGACCCCGTTTCGGAAGTGGGACGTCGTGAGGGACTATATCTCGGGTCTCGTGGAGCGCAAGGGATACAGCGACTTGGTCTCGTACAACACGACGGTCGAGCTGGTGGAGAAGGAGGGCGCCGAATGGAAGGTCACTCTTCGAAAGGAAGGGACGCACAGCGACTACTGGTGGACGGAGACGTTCGACGCCGTCGTCGTTGCCAGTGGGCATTACTGGGTGCCTTATATCCCTGCAATTGCAGGACTCGAGCAGTTCGAGAAGTCCAGACCGGGAAGTGTGCTCCACAGTAAACATTTCCGCGGTCGAGACGCATTTACCGACAAGGTGAGTTTATCCAGGACGAACAACGCGCATGGTGTCCATGCTGACGAAATCAACCCCAGCGAGTCGTCGTCGTGGGCGCATCCGTTTCCGCAGCGGACATCTCATACGATCTGGCGGACACGGCGAAAGCAGTCCACGCGATCACCATCGGCCACACATCAAACGGCTACTTCGGGGATGAAGCATTCAAGCACCCCAAGATCCACAACCACCCGTCCATCGAGAAGGTAATGGGAAGGACCGTCCACCTCGCGGACGGCACCTGTCTCCCCGACGTCGATCACATCATCTTCGGCACGGGCTACAGCTGGACTTTGCCCTTCCTGCCGACAGTCCCAGTGCGCAACAACCGGGTCCCAGAGCTATACCAGCACGTCGTATGGCAGAAAGACCCAACACTGCTATTCGTCGGCGCCGTCGCAGCAGGCCTGACATTCAAGATCTTCGAATGGCAAGCGGTTCTCGCAGCGCGTCTGCTCGCCGGCCGAGCAACCCTGCCCCCGTTAGCAGAGATGCAGAACTGGGAGGCGCAGCGCATAAAGGCGCGGGGCGACGGCGTGAAGTTCACGCTGATCTTCCCGGATTTCGAAGACTACTTTGAGACCGTGAGGCAGCTGGCTGGTAAAGGGGAAGAGGGCAAGGGTCGCCAGTTGCCTAGGTTCCAGCGCGAGTGGTTCCGGGCTTTTCTGGATGGATTAACGCGCCGTAAGTTTATGTGGAAACGGTTGAATGCGAAGGCGCGGGAGGCGCTGGAGAATACGGAGAATCGACAGAAGAGGGGGTCACGGCTTTGAGCTTGGTGATAAATACAGGGTGTACAGAAGTGTAAATATTTGCTGTTATAGTTCAATGCGACATTGACTGGCGTTTAAGACTCAATATATATATCCCCCGGGGAATAACCCTTGGGAAACAGCTAAAGATGGAATGATATTGATGACTTATGAAGATCCCCAAGAGATTGCAAGATTGAAAGAAACGTTGAAATACAAATGGCGTGGAAAACCCTGCAAGTCATGTTGGCCGATTGCAGTCACTCCACATTTATTACTGAAAGGCACAATGTACTACAATCATCGCTAGCTCTATACAGCACAAGTCGCAAAACAAGAAGTCATTTTGAACCGTCAACCCGCAAGAACAGAACAAACCCACTTCTCAAACGCCAGTCTCGTCTCCGACTTATCTTCTTTCAAGGTAAGCTCCAGAACCATATGATTATGAGATTCATCCTCGAGCACACATATCTTCGTCTGCGGGTGCACGGCCTGCAACCGCCTGCCCATTTCCTCGATATCGTCGAGGAAGATCTCATCGTCCCCAGCGGTGATTAATACATCCCTCGCAGGAAGGCCGTGCCACCAGTCCTCTGGCGCCGAGAGCGGCTCCATGTAGGGATCTGTCGGCGCGGAGCCTCGGAACTGGGTGGCCCAGCGGTGGAGCACGTCAGCGTCTAGAGCATCTCTTTGCCGATTCAGCTGCATCGACCGTGTCTTTTTTGTGTCGAAGGTGACCCACGGGGAGAGGAGCGCTACTCCTCGGAAGGGGTTAGTGAGGGTTAGTGGAGGTACAAGGGGGTGCGGGTGGAGGATATGCGAGAGGATGGCAAGGGCGAGGTTTGCGCCTGCGGAGTCCCCTGCGAGGATGATCTGGGAAATTGTTAGCTCTGTGTTTCTAAGTTGGTGGGCGTGGTGATATTTACATTTGAGGGGTCGCGGCTTTCAATGCGAATGAGGTAGTCCAGTAGTTGACAAGCTTGTTGGAGTTGGCGGGGATATGAAGCGTCGACAGAGACGTCTACCTCGTTCAATAAGTGTTGAGTTTGACCTTTTGCAGAGAACTCACCATAAGAAAGTAAAAGAACAGCCACTTTGTTGCCCTTGCGCTCGGCCTCTTGCACCGTCTGGTGGAGCAACTCGAAGTGAACATCGAGGGCCGGTACCACATAGCCCCCTCCTGCAAGCAGCCACTACATCAGCGCCGATAGCCATCAGAGAGAAAAGACACCTACCAGGGCAAAAGAACATGACCTTTTCGGCAGTCTTATCCCCAATCCAATGGCCTCGAGTACCGTCGGCCAGCACAACCGTGTCTGGCGCACAACCACGCGACGAGCAGAACTTCTTATAGCCGTCGTCCGTGGATGTCATCAGGGTACTGTGAATAAATAGTAAGCTCGTTGTGCTCTCGTGCTCTCAGTTTTTGATATAAAAGGAAAAATATACGCTAGTGCTCTGGACGAGAGGCTCCCCGTAAGAATCCGTGACCCCGCATAGCAGAAGTGGCGGTAGTAGGTTGAGGGACCCTCGCTGCGTTGAAATATAGCTGCCACTGCTGCTACAGCCAAGCGTGAAACTATTCCTTTGTCAATATCATCGAATTCGATGCATAACAATCGACAAAATAGAGATACGAGAACGGGTTTGCATACTAGCTTGGACCAAAGACACCGCGACACCGACCCACTCCTTCGCAGACAAGGCACGTTTTGGAGGCATAACGTCGATAAGCACTCGTATTGCTGTGGGTCGTCTTCGTCCTTGTCGGTTAATCGGGACAGTCCTGTATATCAAAAACGAGTAAGCAAACCAATGTCAGCCACTGGTCCTGTATCTGGGTTGATAATTGGCCACAACGGCGCAGTTGGTGCAGCTTGTACGCGCCTCACATTCCGTGCAGATCCGGGGATATAGGAACTCTATTTGTCATCAATGTTATGTGATCTATCTTAATCATCAAGAATCTATCAAAATGTAGAAAATAGAGCTTATCAAAATATAGAAAGTAAGAATATAAATCATACTCACGTTATGCCATAGTATATCAGTAAATGTCATGCTGTAATGGGTATGGATGCACCAGTGCTGCACCACCTAATTCCAGTCCGACCCTCGGGGTATCGATGCGCCTCATAGCTTGGCCTGGCGATAAAGGGTGTATTTCACAGCCCCCAATATCCTCTCTCGGTCCACAGTCTTCACTCGGTCCTTCAACTCGCGTTTGAGGACCTTCCCGGCGGCGCTTTTCGGCACCTGCGGGATCCAGACAATTCCCCCGCGAAGATGCTTATAATGCGCCACGCGATCCTTCAAAGAGCCTATAATACTTACTGCCATGGCTTCGGTTTCATGTGCAGCATTTTGAAGCACGAGGTACGCCAGTGGTACCTCGGTCTGGAGGTCGTCGTTCGCCACTCCAATAACTGCCGCATCTTTAACATGCGGATGGCCGAGAAGGATGTCTTCCAGCTCGGTCGGCGCAATCTGATACCCCTTGTACTTGATCATGTCCTTGGCGCGATCGGTGAGATATAGATTACCGTTGGCGTCTTCGTATCCGATATCCCCCGTTTTGAACCAGCCATCAGCGGTGAGGCATGCATCGGTCTGTTCCGCATTATTCAGGTACCCCTTGAAGACGTTCGGGCCTCGAATCCATAATTCCCCTTCCTCGCTATTTCGTGCTTGACGCGCGTCGTCAATCACTATCTTGGCCTCGAGGCCAGGTAGCACCGGCCCCGATGACCCAATGGCTTGGTCCCAGTTATCCCAGCTCTGCAGAAGTCACTGATCAGCGCTGTTCGAGGGACGAATTAGGCCAGGTGCACTTACTTGTCTGTGAGAGATAGACACCGTCTCCGATAGCCCGTATGCTTGACGGATTGGAATTCCCAGTCGCTGGTAGCCCTCCCGGATCAGAGCAGCAGCGAGTGGAGCCCCACCGGAAGTGATCATGCGGAGGGAGCTCAGGTTGAAGCGGCTGACTGCGCTGTTCTTCGCCAGATGCAGAACAATTGGGGGCGCAACGAACACATGGGTGATCTTCTCCGTCTCTATCAGTCGGCAGAATGCTTCCAGCTCGAATTTCTCCATCATTATCGTCGGCGTTCCCAACCATATAGGAAGATGGACGAGACAAATGAGTCCTGCATTGTGATCAATGTTAGAAAGCTACATCCAAATACATATGGGCGACAGAAAGAAAACGAGAAAAGCTTGACATACCGTAGATGTGATAAGTAGGCAGAACAGCTAAGACTCGATCTCGAGTCCAATCCACATGACGCCCCTCAGCTGCACCGGCGAGAACCACCTCGGCGACTACATTGCGATGGGTGATCATGACAGCTTTGGGCTTTCCCGTGGTGCCGGACGAATAGACCAGGTACGCGAGGTCATTCTCCGGGTCGACAGGGGTGCGGGCCAAATGTGAGTTACTATTTTGAATAAAAGAATCCACGGTTACGAGCCCCCGTTGGGCGTCTCCGAGAACCAAAATGCGCTCAGCCGGCAGGTTAGATTTCCGGGCAGCTTCTAACCCGGCCTCGACGCACTGCGGATGAAGAACAAGTCCCTTCGCGTTGCTAGTCTCCAGATTGTACTGCAGCTCCTCCACGGAGAGCCCGGGGTTTGTGGGGGCTACAACACCACCTGCCCAGTGGCAACCCCATATAACAGAGGGAGTCTCTATAACATTTGGGGCCATCACAAGAAGGACATCCCCCTTGTTCCAGCCCCAGTGGGTTTTAAGGGCTTGGCCAAATACCTGGGCCCGATCCCTCACATCTTTGAACGTGTAGTGTGAGCTGGACTTTGAAGATTTGAAGATCTCTATCGCCCCAGTCAGCCAAGAATACTCGATATGTAGTATATTCGCCCCAGCGGGGAAGCAGTACCATGGCTATCGGGAAAGCTGCGGTCTTGTCTCTCGAACAGCAGCTCCCATAAATCAATCGATGGAATAGTCGGTGTCATTTCGTCGAAAGTTAATTGTTGATTGCAGTTGTAAACATCACAAGCTTTGCATTAGTGCGGTGGTGCCAGTAGTAATGAAATCATCTGTCGGTTACTTTGTTGGAGATCGTGTCTCGGTAATGCGGGGATGGTGACCTTTTGCGGAATGATCGCCAAGTCGTCGGCAAAGCTGGTCCCTCCTCGCGTTCTAATCCAATAACATGGAGAATTGTGTTCGGCTTGCCGTTGAATCTAGCCGGCCCAAAGGAGTTTGCACAATGATTAAGTGGTTTCGCAATTCCACTCGGTGTTTGCGCCATTGTATCAAATGTTGCGCAATCGCCGCCCCACAGACGAAGTGTAGCCGGTGCAGATCATGGAGCCCATGATGGACTTGGTTACAACCACCTTGAACCGCGATAGAAACCTAACAATGGCAACTAAAAATCCCATAGGGACTTCCACAAAATTCAGCCTGTACTGTACACCATCAACAATGATATTTCAGATCAAAACAGCCACTGCATAGTTGTCAAGACTCACGGATCACCATTCTTGCCATCGTCATCAGTCACGATAGACGAGGTCCAAGCAAGCCATATACCAGGCGATGAAGCAGACCAAAAATGTGTCCCAACATAAGGTTCTGAGATTGTCACGAGGCCAAAAGCGTCATGATATCTTTTGTAGCCCAGGGGTAATGGTTTCCACGAAAGATACATAACGATATAACCATGCTACATGATGCAACAGTCGAATTTTCCCTGGTCGCGTTGGGAACCAGGTTGGACGGGCCCTGATAACCCATGGCGAAGTATCTCAAATGAGCCTGCAACTAAGCCACGGCAGTGCTCCGTCAGATATTACATCCTGCACTTTGCCGATCCAACATTGTCTCCATGGTCGTTTTCCTCTTTGATTGGTTCATATTGGCTGGATCCTAGTCCATTGTGCGAGTACTCGACTCGAGAGGAGGTCACCTGGGGATATATCGCTCGCTCGTCGACATCCCAAACGTGGGTGGAAATGGAGATAGCTTCTACCAAGCTGGTCGTGTGGGTTGCTGCACCGGGTGATCTCGATCTACCGGATTCTTCACTCCGCGATTGCCGTCCAGATCAAATGACACCCGTGGCTCAAAGATGACAGTGGCAAGAGAGGACCGTACGCACGACCCTTAGCCTATCAAGACGTCCATAGGACTAATTCGACTCGATTGATCCTTGTCCAGCCGATTGATTAACCATCGTTACTGGCCGGGCGTGGTGTGTCACAAAGGATGCCGAGGAGATTGTAAGCAGAAGGATGTCCGTTTCCTGTGAAACAGAATCACCACTCTCACGAAGAGGGTGGTAGAAAGTAGGGGAGATACAAGGTAGTATCTTGAAGACAATGTGGTGGAGGGGAACAGAGAAAGTGGTTCAGCTGGATCTATTGACACCCGAAACGGGAATGGCCCCGTCGCTTCTCGCCAACAATGACGCATCCCAAGTCAACAACCTCATTGACACTCTCCGAGTTCGTTCGTCTTGTTCTTTCACTCCCTATTGAGGTCTCATCATTCTTTCACTGGGCTTTATGCCAGTGGGGGCTGTGTCAATAAAGCTGGTGATGTTTCTCGTGGAGAATTCGTGTTGACCCAAAGTTTGACTGACCAGACCGGACTGCAGCTCGCCTCGACCGCTTTAGGGTTACAGTCGTTGAACATGGACTGGCTATTACACTGCTCTAGGGCTTGTCCTACTGATCCCTCTGGGAAATGAATGTCTTAATAGGGAGCAAGTGGAACTCCAGTGCACATCGCCGTATACTCTGGATCCTCAACGTCAATAAGACATCACTGCTCCTGTCTCTGGATACTGGATGGTAGTGTCTGGCGATCTCTCAGGGAGTGAAGTGGTTTCATTGACGCGATGGTGCTGGTTCACTTGCTGCGTCTTTCATTCAACCTTTTCCAGAGTCAAATACGTCTTGGAACCCACCTGGAGGCTCTGTAAAGCTTCAATCCTACCGCTCTCTCTGGAATTCCGAACATCTCTCACATTATGGGTTCGTCTGAATTTCCCCTCTATCCACAGGCTGTGATCGTCCCATTGTTGGCCTTTTTCTCGATCTTCGTGAGCATTGCTCCGTTGGTCCTGCACTGGAAGAATCGTAACCTCCCAGCGTGCTGCCTCATAGGCTGGTTCCTGATATTGAACCTCTTCAACATAACCAACGCCATCATCTGGCCCACGGATGATTCTACAACGTGGTGGAACGGGGTTGTGCTCTGTGACATCGAGGTCAAGATCATGATCGCCAGCTACGTTGCGGTACCGGGAGATATCATGTGCATTTTCCGCGGCTTAGCCTGTGTGCTGGACACCAGGCGTGCAACCCTCGTCCCCACCAAACAACAGCGCTGGAGGAATCGTTTCATGGAGCTTCTCTTCTGCGTGGCGGTGCCGATCATCGCTATGATCACCCAAGTCTCCTATCAGGCAAACCGGTATATGATCTTCGCCATTTCGGGCTGTGTCAACAGCTTCGACGAAAGCTGGGTGAGCGTGCTACTGGGGTTCATCTGGCCGCCAATCATTTGCTTCATTGCGGCTTATTATTGTGGTAAGTCTAACGAGACTCAGTTCGACCAGCAGGCACTGTAGCTGACAACCTAGGCCTTGTACTGTACCGCCTGCACAAATATCGAAGCCAATTCAGCGACATCCTTAACTCCTCAAACAGCAAACTCAACAAGTCCCGGTTCATGCGTCTATTCTTTCTCTCATTCATCATGCTCATCGCCATCATCCCCGTTCAGATATACGTCCTGTACAAGAACGTCGAAGGCACGCTCCCGGTGTGGCATGCATACTCGTGGCAGCGCACCCACGCCGGCTGGAACATCATCTACAAGATTCCCAGCAATGGCCAAGCCTTCTTCGACCGCTGGATCCCCATCGTCTCCGGGTTCTTCTTTTTCATCTTCTTCGGATGTGGCCGCGATGCCGCCCGAATCTACCGACTGATCCTCAACTTCCTAGGACTGGGTCACTGCTTCGCCTGTGTGCGGACGTCTCCGCCTGGGACGGATGCCTCAACCGGCCACACGGGGTCAAGAGGCAGTCGGGCTAAACTACTCTTCCACAAGAAGTGGTCATCTTCAGAACGGTAAGCCCCCTCAAACACTCGCACTTCCCTGCCTCCTCGTTCTAACTCCATTCCAAACCAGAACCTACATCAACGACCCCCTCCCTACGTTCCGAACCAGCCGCACCAACCTAGAGGAACAAGCCTCCCACAATGCAAAGACATCATGGCTCAAATCCCCCTTCTCTGCCCTCCGCCGCTCATACTCCGCCAGTCGCGAGAGGATGATCCCCCTCCCTACTATTTCATCGGATCCCACAAGCACAGTATGCACCAATGCCTGGGCGGGTACTAGCCAAAGCCGCGGCAGCGTCGACTTGACAAGCACTGCCTCTAACCAGGATATCATCCGCGTCAAGCAGGTGATCAGCCAGGAAAGCGAGGGTGTATGACTGGGGGGTTCATTGCAAGCTTAACCTTTTTGATATGGTTTCGTTCGTTGTTTATCCTTGATTCGTGCTCGTTTTAGATCACCTAGCGTGCATATCTTTTTCTTTATTCCCTGCTTTCGCCTGCACAATCATGTACCCAACCACCGTGCCCTACCAGGTAAACATATCTACACAATAAATTAATAACGTAAACCAAACCTACACACATACAGACCTCTCGTAAAGCCATTGCCCGAACTCAAACGAATTCCAGCGCGAAGAGCAACTCCAGACATGGCGCACTCCCCTCTACAAGATTGACAGCTCACTAGCAATAGATATACTCGCGGCGAACCTAACCGAGCAGACTAAGTACGCGTTGTACATCCTCGCGAAAGCATAAACGCACGATTGTCTGCGGGCGGTATCATCGCTGGGCTAGGTATATACCAACAGTAGTGCTATGCTACGCTATGCTCTGCGCGTAGTCGACGCGAGATGTAATATACAGCATTTATGCGTGTGATGTGTCACAATGGTGGTTCGGCTATGCTTCCGTCGTGTGGGAAAAAAAAAAAAAAAAAAAACAAAGATAGAAAAACGGACCAACGGCACTGGGAGTCTTTCATTCAAGGATATACATATACAATACATGAAATAAACAAAGAACATGCTGTAGCCAACTGTCGGAGGAGCGGATCAAAGGTCGCTGGGTGGAGAGGTCCACAGCCGGGAGGCAAGAAAATTAGATGGTATAATCAAGTAACGTAGACGCCATTAGACCCGAAGACACCGGCTAACCCGACCACAATACGCGATCTGACGTTCTTTATTTATTCCTGCTGGGACTCGCCGGATTCGTTGTCAGGGCCCGAATAAGGGCGTTTGAGGACCTCGATGGAGCCTGTACAACGGAAGGGAAAGGACCACGTTAGCCTCTTGCCCGAGAACACGAAGGGGGTAAGGTCGGCGGGAATATCTCACGTTGAAGAATGCTCAGGGTAGACTGTCTTCTGCCCTCGTTATCTTCCCACTGGCGCATGCTGGCATCGCCCTCGACGAACACGAGGGTACTGGATAAAAGAAGCGACGTTAGCATTGGCACAGCATCATGATGGAATTCCCACGGGGTGTGTCTGTCACATTGCACGTCTATGCATGCTCCGCTCGCAACGCTCTGCATAGTCCGTCCAAATATAGAGAGATCACCCCAAGAATATACCACCAGAGCGTGGATCGTACTCACCCCTTGGGCAGGCCCAGCAGGTAGTCCCGCTGGGGACCTTCATTGACGAAGCTGTTGACACGGAACCAGCTTATCGTGCGGTTTTCGCGGGATCCGTAACTGCTACCGACGGCGTATTTGATCATTTCCTTGCCGGAGGAGGTCGCAACCAGCTCGGGCTCAGCGGCGAGGCGGCCGGTGATCATCATCTTCGCGGCATTGTGGGCAGCGGAGTTGCTGAACGAACGCGCGGACAGAGCAGCGGTAGAAGAGGCACGCAGGCCGGGGCGCAGGGAGGCGAGGAAGGCAGACATGATGTTTGTGGGTGGTGTGATGGGATGGGGATGTAATGGGATGAAGCGCGTGGAAGTTTTTCGACGGGAAGCTCGATAACACCCGGCGGAGTCTAGTCAGTCCAGCAGCGGTTCGATGGACGGGAGCTGGTCCGCGTTCCGGTCATGTGATTGGTGGCAGTTCTAGAGCGGTGAGTCTGTACCGTGTCCATCCAGTCGGCCTGAGGCAGACATTCTATAAATCGATCTATGGCTGTTGTTGTTGACGATTGAAAGCCAATTCTTTTGCAAGTAGAAGTCTCTAATCAGAATGTATTTCTGGTAGTATATTAGTGCTAGGGTTAAGTTGTCTCCGGACAGCGGTTTCTTGGTTTAAATGCCATTGTGCTCACGTTCAGACAGTATCCACTGGCTTCATACTCATAGATACGGCCTTCAGATAACATATTTCAGCTGATATTGCCAGACCTCTCAATAGAAAAAAAACGAGGTTCTGAAAAGAGCGTCACTGCTAGCTATTCTGGTTAAATCTGGCTGAGTATTGAGGACATACTTGCAGCAAATATAGAGACACTGCTGCATGGTAGTAGCTTGGTTATATATACTGAACTGCCGCAGCGGCAATACGGATTGTCATGACAAATATGGGTACCTCCTATTCCAGCAAGGAACCATACTTATCCTTGTAGATGTAAGAAGATATGAACTCGTCACTCCATAAGGACACAGTCTTCCATATGCATGGACCACGGAGGATAAACAAAGGCAAGTGCCTCGAAAAAGCTATACAAGATAACGTTACCCTAAGGGATGAAATCTTCACAGATCCAGGGATTTCAATATGGCACAACTACAAGGACTAATTCAATATGTTGTCCAACAGGAAGGACTAGTTGATCACTCAGCTCGCAGATGTCCTCCTTACTCATGCATATCTTCCTGCATCAAGCATCTCCAATTATGTACAGACCCATACGACTCGATCTCTTCTCAATCAGTTCTGGTCAAGACTGGTGGAAGCCGTTTGATATAACTGGTTTCCCTTGGTAGGTAAAGGTTACAGTGTTTTCCTTGATTTTATGGTATTCCATCCATGCAACATGTACTGGATCATACAAGATCTCATGACACCGAGTAACTTCGAATTCAGGCTCCAGCAATGCCCCTGACGCAGTCAAGCTGCTGTCCCGTTTTACCGGCATATGAAATTCGCATAATCCAGGTCCACTTCTCAAATCGGTCCAATGTTTCACTGATCCTGTAGAGACCATGAGGCTTAGTCCAGATTGAGCATGTTTGCTATCCCCGGGAAGAAGCGACACCGCGGATAAGGACGGGATCATCCTTGTCCTCTCTGGTCAGGACCAGTCCAGACTTTCGACAGTCAGATCGATAAAAGCTTGGTGTAACCCAGCATTCAATATATGTACGCGCCCCGATCTGTAATCAGAGACGAGACGATTGAAGCAGGCGAAGGTAACAAAGAACAGTGGTATGTATGTCGCTGTTTGGAGTAACACAGGTTCCTGTCGACCGTGAAAGGTCACACAGTACATACTTATCGGTACTCGCAGTTGCTCGAGAATATTGAGTAGTTCGGCGGGAGATCTCGTGGTTTGCGCTACCCTCCGTCATGCATTGGCATGGTTCGTCCTGCAAATTCAGCAATGTCCCTTACGTCTGCCCGTGGTCTGTTAGGGACACCCCAGTTTCATTCTGGATATACTCACGAAGCCGGCCCTGGATAGACCTGCAAAGATTTGTCGCGAGCGACTCATACGAGATCAGCAACATCGTAGCATACAAATCCTTCATACTATCCCAGCATGGATCAGAAGCAGAGCTCGTCGTAGGCCGCTCGACGCATTGGCTTCTGGCCGATCTCCCGTCTAAAGTGAAATGCCGGCGGAAACCATCATATTTCACGCGGTTCTTGCAGAGATTTCTGTCAAGAAATGTCAGCCCAGGATAGTCACCCGGAGACTGCTGGGTAATGGCAATCGAAGCAAACCTGCCCTTTACATCGAGAAGGCGTCTGGCTTGCGGTATGTGCCCTTAGTGTGCAATCGCGGTTCTTTCTCACTGCGCGAAGCTTCTCTTAGCCAATTCACATCGCAGCGACTGGCGCAGTCAGGCTCTGCTCTTAGGATGTACGACAATGTGTCCTATTGTGGCATCATCCGTGCGTCTCAGTCGAAGGCTGTCCTAAATTAGACCATCATCATTATGAGGGAAGTGAAGCTCCTAGCACCTCGTACATACAGCCCACAAAGCCCGTCGCCGATAGAGGAAGAAACGATAGCGTCTCCGAGCCAGTGTGGACCAGTCGCATTTTGACCGAAGCATATACAGCCCTCGCCCGAGTCCAATCGGCCGCTAGCTCTTGACTCAGGGGCCGAGCACACACCTCTCGCCGAAGTTCCGACCAGAACCGAAAGAATCTAGGACAACAACTGTTCCAGACTGATCAATAATCTTGAGCATCATCGACGCATGTATGTGAACCGATATAGTCCTTGCTTCGGGCACGAGCGTCGTAGTGGGCAGTCGCGTAGATTTCCGAACCATGATGGACACGATTCGCCATGACTTACTGTACACCCTGGCGTTGCACTTGAATGATCATCCTGAATACGAAAAGGCGTCACGTCCGGGATAGGGGTAGAGATGCAACACGCCGGGCGTACACTGCTAGGGCTGGACTGGGTGTTGACTACGGGTGGTCTAAATCACGCATCACTATGTCAAGCGTGGCATGATGAAGTAGATATTGGCAGGTGATTATTGAGATTTACTCACATAGTCCGTGTTGACATGTCAAAGCCACTTGAAGATCCTCATTCAAGCCTGGAATATCAAGCTGAATGCGCCAGAACTGACAATCACCAATCAATCCCATACTCGTCTCAGTGGGAATATGATAATAGATAAATAAGCAAATAAATCAGTTGATGAATGTATATCTTTATTTGAGAAAATACTTCTATTTCAATCGCATCATACCGCATTGGAGTCATCGCCCTCGACACTGCATCTTGTGGAAATGATGACTGGGGCAGGATGGCTCTACATCAGGTGATTCCACACCGATCACTCGCTTTGACTCGCTTTTACTCGGTGCATCATTCCTTCTCACTTCACAAACACAGACCAAGCGATAGAGCGACATATACTGAACCTTCAGCAAACCATACCAGACATCCTTTCTTGCTTATCCTCTACATATCAATAGACCTGCATCTGCTATGCTTTCGGCTACATATATTGTTCTATCCTCGTTTGACTTTGGGTTTATGAGACGTCCCAATCTATATGTGCGGAGTACGTCCCAGGCTGCAGCAAGGTACGCATCTTTAGTTCAAGTTTATTGGGCTCTGCTCTCTTTCTCAGATCAGAAATATGCTCCTTACTGAGTTCACCGCTTCCGCCCGAGCGTGGTTTATTGATATCGGCAACTTTTACCATTGGAACTAGTACATACCCTTCCTCTCGAAAATCTGGCCACCGCAGGATCACTCGATCGATCAGTTGGCAAAAATATGAACTCGCAACAGGGTGGGATGATCTCAAGGGGAAACCGTCGCCCGAGTCAGACTCGACAGCGCATTGCGGGCTTCTGGAAACTCCAGCCAATCTAACCCTTGAATATGCCCTCCTGGAGGGATGGTGGTTTCGGGTATTAAGTTCCCACTCCCATTGTTCGGTGACATTTATCGAACATCGTTGCTTTTTCTTTTTCTTTTCCCTTGTCAGCCCTGGTATGATAGGCGGGGAGCCGTGTCGAGACAAATGAGACGTGTCGGCTCCTGCAGCTGATCACATCCAGCCTAGCCCAGACTAATTAATGGTGGCCACTGATGCTGGCCGATCAGCGATATGGCCGACCTGGCTGTCATTCCGTCCCTGAACACGGCCACCAACTCAAACTTGGAATTGGATTTAGGCCTTGGATCGGTGTCGAGGAGGCTTGCCACCCACAGAGGATCCCCCTGCCCCACTCCCCTGCCTGTCAGTGTCAATCAACTTGGCCCAACCACGTCAGCGTGACTTCCGTTCCCCGCCGGGTTGCAGAGTTCCAATGCGCATGTGCTGGTGACACCGTAACCATAGCCATTGGGCAATGGAGGTTTCTCGCTCCTCCCAGTCCGTTCGCGTTGGCTCTGACCTGGCATTTGTCTCGAGAATCAGGGTCAAATCATAGGCTGTCGATGACCTGTTCCTTACATACTGAACTTGAGCGACGTATTAGGCGCCATGGATGGAGGCGGGGAACCTGCCCGAGAAAAAACAGTTGGAGAGGACAAGAAATATCCCTCCTGCCAAGTGCCGGCCTGGATCACTATGGCTATTTCCGTGGTTGGTAACACAGCTTCCCATGCAGATCCCTGTCAAATAATGTCAAAATATCATGTACCGGTACGACGCAGCATGGCGTTGCTTTTTGGGCAAGGCTCGATCGAGTGGACCAGCTCGCATCGCCATGCATTTCCGTAGTCTAGTTTATACCTTGGTTTTTTCGAACCCTCCGAATTTTCAGGAGGTAGCTCCCTACGAGGACTAGGGCCTTGAAGGTTTTTTTCGCAGGACCTAAAAGATGATTGTCCCTCCCAACGCCAATGCAGCTTTGCTGCCGAAAGATTATATCCTTTTTTTTTATTCCTTTCCCCTCCGTTTGTACATGCACCCAGTGGGCCTATACTGAGGCCCTGCGTGGTTCTCTTGTCGGTTGGATGTTTCTGGTCACGGTTCTGGCAATCTCTTGCGCGTCGTGAGTTATATACTGAACAGCTGACCTCGCCACTGGTGATATTGAACTGCATGGTATATCCTTAATCGCATGTGGACCTAGCCCCAGGGAAGCTCATACAATTGCAAGCCCGATTGCCATTGAATCCAGTCAGGTTAAGCACAGCCCCGCCTTCCCTCAACTTGACTGGGTTGTTGCATTTTCCTCTGCTCCTTAAAGATGCGGTTATCATTTGCGCTGGTGGTCATCTATACGGTGTGTGGCCTGCTTGTGCTCGCGACACAGATCTCTCATGAGGCGCGTGGCAGTCATGGAGAAATCGCCGATATAGCCCCACGGGCCACAGATTCTGACGCTACCACTGCGGAGCCTACGAAGACGGAGACGGCCTCAGACGAGACTGAAACCGCGTCAAATGAGAAAACAAGCGAAAGCGAAACGGCGACGGCGACAGACTACACAAAGACATCAGCCACGAGCACCACAACGTCGCCGACGGAGACCCCCTCAAGCCCGGTGAAGAGTGAGTCTACACGGCCTGATCAATACGCGACAATGCTAATGCCCGGAAAGATGAAACGAGCCCCGTCGCACCCGGTTCCTTGCCATTGGAGCCCGAAATCACACCGGCTCTGGGTATCAGCGGATTTATTCTTTTGACAACCGGCGCAATTCTAGCGCTGATTGGGATACGGAATCTATGGTAATTACTCTTTGCGCTGATCTTGCAGTGGCCATCGCTTACCGTTCGCAGGGTTCAGGTCTTCCTTTCTACGGCGTTCTTGACCAGCCTGGGAGTTACCGTGAGTTTTCCCCTCGAACGTCAACAATGCAGCAAACTGACAAGGTGGATGTGAAGGTCCTGATCGTATATGTGATGAGCCCACCCGTCCGGGTAGCAGTACAAGGCGCATATCTCGTGGCGGTGTTTTTCACCGGCGTAACATTCGGCGCACTGTCAATCGTGTTCAAAGAACTGACCGAAGGACTCGGCTGTCTACTGGGAGGATTCTGCGTCAGCATGTGGCTCCTTTCCCTGAGCCCGGGTGGTCTTCTCAAAGACTCCGGCTCCAAGAGCGGCTTCATCGGTGCCATCTCCGTCGGCTGCTACGCGATGTCGTTCAGCCAATACACGCGCCCGTGGGGACTGATCGTGTCGACTTCAATTGCAGGAGGCACGGCCGTCGCGCTTGGTATTGATTGTTACAGCCGGGCCGGGCTAAAAGAGTTCTGGCTCTACATCTGGGGTATGTATTGTGTCTTCGCTTCTGTCCCCCCATCCCACCGACGACTCCAGCCCTAACGGAGCAACACCAGGACTCAACGAAGACATATTCCCGCTGGGGACAAACACATATCCCGTGACGCGGAACATCCGCGTCGAGCTCGCAGCGACCGTCATTGTCGCCATCCTGGGCGTAATATCACAGCTGCGCCTGTGGAAGATCATCCGCGAGAAGCGCCGCAAGGACGAAGAGGTGCGTCTGGAGGAGCAAAAGCGCGACGAAGAATCGGAGGCCGAGACCGCGCGACACCTAGAAGAGAAGAACATACGCGAGCGCAACGAATGGGAAACCAAGTATGGCGATCCCAACTCCGTGACCGAGCTGCCCGACGACGAAGAGAAATGCCATAACCCCTCTCAGCTGGCAAAAGAGGAAATGCAAAGTATCACGAGCTCCTCGTACTCTGAGAAATCGCCCCGGTGTTCCGACTGCAGGGAGAGAGCTGACAACGGCGAGTCCGCCTATGCGTCTTCTGAATCCAGCAGCAGTAGCAGCGGATCATCGAGGCCAGATACCTCGAGAGGCTCAGTGGACGAGAACGATACTCCGCACGTCAAGGTCTTCGACGGGGCAGCCGCCTCCAAGATCAAGGATGACCGAGCCTCTGATGTGACCGCTATCCTTGGTTCCGAGACAGCTACTATCCGCTCGAAGCGGTTCTCCGGGAAGTCCTTCAAAAACTTGAGAAGAATGTCTGTCATGTCCAGAAGCAGCATGGGTCAGATCTCCCAGTCTCAAGAAGCGCTGCTCCCTCGCGACGATGGCTCATCGGTCCAAGGTATCGCGGACGAAGCCAGCGACGCGGATTCGGGGGCCCTTACAATGGCTGCGGGGGATCCTCGCGAGACGAAGGATGCCCCCGAGGTTGATAGGGATGGTTCTTCCGTTTACTCCAAGGAGCAGGATGCCGTTGGCAAAGTGGAAGCGGAAGGATCTCCAAAAGATGCTGCTGGGGATGACGAGAGTGCAGACATTCCGAAAGACACTTCCAAAGACCCTTCCAAGGAAGGAAAAGCCGAAAACTCTTCTAACCTTACACCCGATACGGCGGTCCATTTCCTGTCAGAGGAGACGCAGCAAACCCCCCTAGACGACAAGCCATCTTCTGCGGGCGAAGACAAAGCAACGTCAAGCAAACTCGACAAGGGAAAGGCCAAAGAGGTACTCGCAGAACCTGAGTCCATTGATAAACACGACAAAGGCAAGGAAGGAGACCCGGCCTCTGAAGTTGTCAAACAGGAAGATAAGGAACATGCTGCGCTATCGGCTCCCAAAGGGGAGGTGAAAGCAAAATCTAAGAGAGGCTCTCGGAAAGAATCTAAGAAGAGGTCCAAGAGAAATTCGAAGAAGGAATCTAGGAAGGTGTCTGACAGTGGTTCCAAGGATTCCAAGTTGGAGTCCAAAAATGAAGACGAGGGTGAAGCGAGAGAGGAATCTAGCAAATTTGCCCAAGAGGCTGTGGAGTCAAGGAAGTTTTCAAAAGAAACCAAAGGATCTCCAGAAGAGTTCGAGGGACTGAAAGAGGGGCCGAAGGAGAGTTCTGAAGAGAATCTCAAAGTCTCTAAGAAAGAGCACAAGAAAGCCAATAAGCAAAGTCGAGCAAAGCCATCCCTCAAGTCTACGCCAATTGCAAGATCGGAAGATAAAAGCCATAGTGAGGATTCGCCGGCTGAGAAGAACAAGGCTGCCGAAGAAAAGTCCATCTCGTCGGAGGATAGCTCTACGCATGCATCCCCAGACGCCGAAATTCCCCCTCCCCTCAAGCCACGGAAGTCCTCGTCTTCCAAGGTGAAATCGAATGAGAAGAACCGATCTTCTTCGTCAATCCCAAAGACTACGAGCAAGCCGAAGAAAGAGAAACCTCAAGGACCCCCGAAATTGGATACACAAACGGTCAATCACCTGCCACAGCGGTCTTCGAGGGTCGTCCAATGCTATCGGACGAACGAATGGGCGAAGCACCTGGCCGACGCAGAAGCTCCGGAGCTAGAGCCTATTGAGCCGGTCCATGAGGACGATCCAGACACCCCAGATGACGCGGGAGAGGCGCCTGCACCGGTCCACGTCGAGGAGCTACTACAAACGCCGCTGAATGCACAGCCGCCGCCCGCTGTCGAGTTCCGGTCCCCATTAGCAAGGGAACCCCCCAACGCAAACGAAGACAGCCGAAGGTCTAGCGACTCCCGTCGGCACTCTTCAACAAAGAAACAACGAGGATCTGGTGTACCTTTCGTGCCAACGACTCACCTCTCTCAGGTGTCAGTTCCCCAGCCACCGCTCGTGCAAACGATAGCAGATGAGCCAATTCTAGGCGCGGCTTCTCCTCCGGCAGACCCATCCAAAGAGGAGAACCAGTCGGCCAAACCGCAGTGGAAAGGGCCCCCGCCGCTGATTGCGGTGCGCGAGGGCATGATGCGCAACCGGCTGTCCTCATTCTCACTCCATGCCGACCCCTGGTCTTCGCGGAGCAGCCCCGGACAGTCACCGATCGTGGAGTCTCCTCCTCATCCACTTCCTCCAATCCGACACACCTCCACCACATACCCGCCGATCCCAGAAGAAGCAGACGACCTGCCACTGTCGCAGCGCCGGACGATGCTCCACCAGCGCACCTCGGTGGTCAACCCCCTGATCAATCCGTTCGTCAACGTTCCGTGCCAGCCGCAGCCGCGCCGCAGCAGTCAAAACAGTGGTATGTTCCCCGGGAACCAGCCCGCAGCGATGGCCGCATTCCGAGAGTCCGTCCGCGAAGACCTCGATGACAAGTACACCCCTCTCGGGACCATGCCGCCGAAGGGGCCCTCCAACCGCAGCGTGTCGGCCCCGTTGGGACAATCCCTGCGCAATGCCTCATCGCAAAGCATCGGGAGCATGGCTGGCGACATGAGCGATCTCCACCGCGAGGCGATGCGCCGGATGCAGGCGCAAGCGAACCGCAACGTGAATGGCGTGTGACCCACCGTCGTGGTGCCCGCTATGTTTCTGCTGTTGGTTTCTGGGTCTGGATTGAAGATTCCCCGTTTGTTCCGTCGACCATTCCAGCGATGATTTTCTCCGTTTGTCGGGTGGGGGAAGGTACTTAATGTGTGGTGATGGGAAGATATACCCTGTATGTTAAAAGTAATTTAATCGTCATTGTCTCCTGTGTGTAACTCGACGAACTGTACGGCGTACAAAGTGGAGAGAGTGGATGGATCCAACGCCCCCTCGTCGGAGGTAAATTAATTGAGGGTTCCCCAATGACTCGCAGGCCTGCGCCGCCCAAGGAACCCGAGTCAAACAAGGGAGCGAGCGAGCCAAGAAGCACCCAACAGGCTTGACAGTAAGCCGTCGTCACGCCAGGGGGCGCCAGAGCGTCCAGGCTCACTATTGAGGATCTATTAATATGAACCAGTTTAGCTCATCCTTTTCTTTCACGCCCAACTTTATTACCAATCAGACCCGGTAAAATCTCTGCGAGGTGAGACCGGGTTGTTTCTTCGGTCGATGGAATAGGTTTCAGGTAGTGCGAGACTCAGGAGGAGCCCAGGAAACGGTCGATCTGACCTATAAAGATCGGGACGAGGGGCCCGTTTGCGCCTTGTGCGGTAGATTTGAATCCTTACTTGGGCTATTGAACGGTCTGCCTTATTAGACATTATTGGCATTGATATCCACTGCGCGTGTTATAAAGGGTTTTGAGACCTCCTAGGAAACGCGCGGTGATCTAAGACTCATCCTTTCTTTCTCTAGACTGACCGATCTGTCTTCCAACTGAACAGAGGCATGATCACGGTCCATCTGATCGAATATAAATCCAGATCGGTGCCTGATCCCTTTATGCTGCGCTCAGGCCAACGTTGGCCCCTTTCCGTGCGCTCTCGGCCAATCAGAACGCCCTCTCCTATCCCGCTGAGTCAGCATCTCCTCCATCTGCTTTTGCTTCATCTTTTGGCTCTTCTCCTTCCCCCTCCTTCACCACGGCGTTCCCCGAGTCTTCCTCTCATTTCCCACCTCTCGACCCGCTATCTCCCTTGTCGGAAGCGGCGTCGTTCTCGTCCGCCTCGAATCAGAATCACCAACGGGTTCGTCCCCCGCCCGAAACCGCTGAGCCTTCGTACTCTCGCCTGCCCCCGCGCGGTACCCGACAGTCGCGCCGTCGCTCGATCGAGTGCCACTCGGTATCATCCTCGTTACGCACATCCTCTCGTGCTCCCTCTCTTCCGCGGCGCAAGAAGTCCTGGGTCTCGTCCACTCCGATCCTACGGCCTCCCGCCGTCCGACTCGCCAACCCCGTCAACTACGTCCCGCGGATTACCCCCGTTCTCGTTCCCACCCACGCGCCCTTTGATATCTCCGACGAGGACCTCCCGCTTGAGTCGCATCGGGACGCTCATCCGCTCCTGTCGATCCCCGAGCGGCGACGCAGTCGAATCACCCCGTCGCCGAACAGCCTAGTAGTGGAACGCAGTCAGGGGGAGACCGAGAGCGGCCGCTCCAGCATCGCCTTGCCTCGACGGCAACGGAGGCACAGTGGCGCATTTGCATTCGACAATCGGTGGGCCCCAGAAGAGATGTCGGCCCCTCATGCGATGAGTCAGGACACACAGGGCTTGCGCCCACCGGACCGGGCGCATCTGGGCGGGGAGCTTCCGGCCGGTCCCCCGGGCCCGCCGCTGGAGGATCGCCCGCGGCACATTGCGTCGCAGGCCTCGTTGCGGTCGAATGCCCCGATCGCATCGATCCCGTCCCACACGGTTCCAGTCGGCGAGGCCGACGTCGCGGAGGAATTGGCCTGGGGACCCGCCCATCCGTGCTTCCCGCACTTCAACCCGCACGTACCCATCGGATCGCAGGAGTACGAGACGACTCGGATCATCCGCATCCGCCGCGACTGGATGATCAAGGGCGATCTGGCCCCGACGTTCTCCAATCTGTATCCGGAGATCCTCGACCCCCTCATCCCCGACCAGGAATTCCGCCGGATCATCAACACCGTCAATGACGCGCTGGTCCAGGCCTTCGACCCGTTCAGCCTGCGGAACTGGGTGGACGGGGTGGTGGGATTGTTGACGGGCTGGGTGTGGGAGGATCTCGGGGCGCCGGCCGTCAAGAGTCACCTCCAGCGGGTGGAAGACTGGCTGGAGAATTGGAACCGCGAAGTGGGTGAGAAGGACGGGGTGCATATCTGGAGTCTCCGACGATCGGCCTACATGAGCCTGGATATTCAGATCCCCGATCCCAAGGTAGGCATCATTCCGACGCAGTCCATCGCATCGCGGCCGGGGAGTGCGATGTGAATTTTCTTCTTTTTTCTCTCTTATTCCCCCATTTTTCTTTCTTCCTGTCCTCCCTTCTTCCCTTCTTGCTAAAAAACGGCACGATACCAGCTCTTACGTCGTTTGTGCTTGTTGCTATGATGTTCACGTTCTTGGAGATACCATCCGTGCGTTTTGAAACCCCTGAGTTGATCTGATTGATCTTTGTCTATAATTTTATTCTCTGTGGATAATTGCTGCGGATTAATAGTATTTATTATACATATCAAGGAATATATCTATTCAAAAATAACGTGTATATACAACTAGAAGACAAAAGTAGGTGGAGCGACATAAATTGGACAACCGCCGAAAGCAGTAAGCCAGCTCTCCACCGATCGTCCACCAACTTCCCCGACCTCGACTCCTTTTCTTCCATTCTCCCCCTCCACCTCCCCTCCCCTCCCCTCCTCGTCTTCCCCCCCATGTACAAATTTTAATATTACAACCTTCAACCATGCTCTCCGGGATCCTCGTCTTCAACCAGAAAGGCGAAAACCTCATCTTCCGCGCCTTCCGCAGTGATTGTCGCCCGCGCCTGGCCGACATCTTTCGCATCCAGGTCATCTCCAACCCGCAGGTGCGCTCGCCTATCCTGACGCTGGGCTCGACCACCTTCAGCCATGTCAAGCACGAGAATATCTACCTGGTCGCCGTGACCAAGAGCAATGCCAATGCCGCGCTGGTGTTTGAGTTCCTTTACCGGTTGATTATTCTGGGGAGGGGGTATTTTGGAAAGTTCGATGAGGAGGCTGTGAAGAATAACTTTGTGTTGATTTATGAGTTGTTGGATGGTATGCCTTCTTTTCCTCTTTACAGTGTGGGGATTGCAATCCATGAGTACCCCCGGATACTAAACTAATGGTAGAAATCCTCGACTTCGGATACCCCCAAAACACCGAAACCGACACCCTCAAAATGTACATCACCACCGAAGGCGTCAAATCGGCCATCGCCAACCACCCCACCGACTCCAGCCGCATCACGATGCAGGCGACCGGCGCGCTCTCCTGGCGCCGCTCCGACGTCAAATACCGCAAGAACGAGGCCTTCGTGGACGTCATCGAGGACGTGAACCTGCTCATGTCGGCGACAGGAACGGTCCTCCGCGCGGATGTCAACGGTCAGATCGTCATGCGGGCGTACCTCTCCGGCACGCCCGAGTGCAAGTTCGGGCTGAACGACCGCCTCCTCTTCGACACCGACGGGACCAGCGCGGGGCCCAGCAGCGGCGGCGGAGCGGTGAGCAACAACCGGGCGACGCGGGCGACACGGGCGGCAGCCGGGTCCGTCACGCTGGAGGACTGCCAGTTCCACCAGTGCGTGAAGCTGGGGCGGTTCGACGCCGACCGGATCATCTCGTTCGTGCCGCCGGACGGCGAGTTCGAGCTGATGCGGTACCGGGCGACGGAGAACGTGAACCTGCCGTTCAAGGTGCACCCGATCGTGCGGGAGATCGGAACCACCAAAGTGGAGTACAGCGTGGCGATTAAGGCGAACTACAGTTCCAAGCTGTTCGCGACGAACGTGGTGGTGCGGATCCCGACGCCGCTCAACACGGCCAAGACGACGGAGCGCACGTCGCAGGGCCGCGCCAAGTACGAGCCCGAGCATAACAATATCGTGTGGAAGATCGCGCGCTTCTCCGGCGGCAGCGAGTACGTGCTCACGGCGGAGGCGACGCTCACGAGCATGACGCACCAGAAGGCGTGGAGTCGCCCGCCGCTGAGTCTGTCGTTCAGCCTGCTCATGTTCACGAGCAGTGGGTTACTGGTGCGGTATCTCAAGGTGTTTGAGAAGAGCAACTACAGCAGTGTGAAGTGGGTTCGGTATATGACGCGAGCGGGGAGTTATGAAATTCGGTATGTCCCTTGTTTATCCCCCTATATCCATCAAATCCAGACACTAACGAGGGGCCAGATTTTAACCTCTCCACCCGGACCTACTCTTCCTCCCACCCCTCCCATAACTATCTCATCGAAATCACATCACATCACATCACATCACATCTACCTATCTCAGCGGGGCACGGTGTTTGGCGTTTGGTCTGCTTTTTCCTGATATCAACATTATTACCTTGACTATGTGCATTGCTGTATCTATATCTGTCTGTCTGTATATTGGTGTGTGACTGCATCTACATACGTACTACATACTTATCATAATTGTGCATTTGCAATCGTGGATTGCTTTATCTAGACCTTTATTTCTTCACTATGGTCACTTGATTGTTGTGGGCATAGAGTACATTTACTACAGTATATACATACAGGAGCTACATAAGAAAGAAACCATCACAATACTGAGTAGACCATGGACGCCGGTTTATCGTACACTTACCACATAAATTATTCTCAAATAGATAAAAATATAGAAAGGTAAAAAGGCCAAAAAGTAATAGTAATATATGTAATGATCAACACAACCGGTGCAGTAAGTGGCCTCTGGCCTATCCTTAGGTATTAATCGGTTGTTCAATCGCAGATTCAATCAATCAATCAATCAATCAATCAATCAATAGACTAACCAACTAGCCAGCCAATTGGGAAGGAAATGGAGAATATAAGAAAGACAAGACAAGAAGGGAAGAGAAAGAAAAAGGTAGAAACAGGGGATATAACCATGTGCAGTATAAAACAAAGGAAGATCAATCAATCAACCCACAAGACAAATAAGAAAAAGAAAACTCCGTCATCCATCCATCCCATATCCCATATCCATAGATTACATCATGTCGCGACAAGGACAAAAACAAAAGGAATGAAAAAGTACAAAAGAAACGACGAAAACAACCAGGTGGGGAAAAAAAGGGAAAGCTCCGGCTGTCAAACACGCATCAAACAAGAAACATAAACACAAACAAACACAAATAGAAATACATCCACATAGGAAGAGAAAGAGAAAAATAAAGAAATTACATCCACATCTCATCAATCCTCCCCCTCGTCATGCGTCCCCCACGACGTAATCCCACGTTCCCATCACCCACAAGCGCCTGCCACCTTCGCCCCACACTAGCCTGGTCCAGGCCCATGCGCGCAGCACAGTCGTCCCAGTCGCCCCGCGACAGCTGGAACTTCTCCAGCACGACCTGCACGAGGCGCTGATCGTCGTCTGCGGACCAGTCCGGGACGGAGTCTGGTGCTGGAGGTGCGGACGACGACGGTGACGTCTCGTCTGCTTCCTCGATGGAGGGCAGTGCGGCGTCGGGGTTGTACGGCGCGGGGCCATCGTCGTCAGCGTCAGCATCAACTCGCTGAATTTGACGACTGATGACCGGCGATGGGGGAGACTGGGTGATTGGGGGAGAGTGGAGGGTGTAGAAGTCGGATTGGGAGAGGCCTAGTGGGAGGTCGTAGGGGACGTGTCTGGGGCGTTTGGGGGTGGAGAAGCGGATGCGACGATGGCGCATGACGTCGGAGTCTTGAATTTCTTCATCGTCGTCGTCTTCGCAAGAATCGCGGCGTCGTTTGTTGGCACCGCGGGGAGGAGGCGATTGTGGAGTGTGGGAGGGTTGTCTGGGTCGGAGGGTGATGGTGGTGGTGGTGGCGGTGGTGGTGGATTGTGGTTGTTGGTGGGATGAATGGGTCTTAGGCTTCCGCGACCGGGCGGAAGGCGCAGGTCGGATTTCAAGGGGACTTTGCAGACGTTGAGGTTTTGTGCGTCGCGGAGAGGGCGAGGGCGATCGCAGAAGGGACTGAAGTGCGCGACAGGTGCCCAGGAGACCGTTGCCTGGTGGGGAGTCATCGTCTGACGGGGGCGGCGTGGTCAACAGACGGCTCGGCGTGAGGCGCGAACGGCTCACAGGCCGGCGCATGTCGCATGATAAAGCCGATGGGAGCAACATAATTGCGCAGAGGATTGTATTAGGGAGGATATATGCGCGAAAGAGTGGAAGGTCGATAAACGAGAGTTCGACCTGCTGGAGGGTAGTGGTTGACTGGCGGTTTGTGCGCAGACCGCGCGCTGCGATTTGCGCCGGAGGACGTTTGGTAAAGAACCAGACGAGTTGGGACGTTCAAAATAAGTAGAGGGATATCCTGACAGCCAGCGCTTCAATCTGGACAGATTCCGAGTGATGCGACGGGTGGGTGGACTAATAAGTTGGATGGATGAATGAAAGATGGTGGTGGAAGAGAGAGTGGGTTGACTGGATTGACGCGGGTGGCCGATAAGTCTGGCTAAAAGGGAAAAAAAAATTAAAAAAGAAAAAGGAGAGTAGTGCAGGTACTAGTGGTGACTAAGACGGAATAGTGTTCGGGCACAACGTTATCGCTTTTTCGTCCCGCAAACGGATGAAGAATTCTGGGTCGAACAATGGATGATCAAAGCGTTGGAATAAATAAAAGATGGGAAGTATGGTTCGGCCGGTTTCATCCATCAGATGAAATCATGCATTTGAAAGAATGACGACACTGCAGGATCCCAAACACACTACTGCCGACGCACACTGAATGAACGGCGACGACACCTGAGGCAGTGCTGCGCCAAAAAGAACGAAGAACGAAAGAAAGAAGAGAAAACAAACAAAGAATGACTGATACTAGCGAGTGACTGTTGCCCACATTCTCTTCTTGAGACAGAATAGTAGGGTGTTGGGCTCCTTCTCCCTCTTCTACTCTCCTGGATTCAGGGAACCGTCCACGTTAAGAAGCCCTCTACAGATGATATCCTTCCCCTCCGATAGACCACGGGGCTTGGTCATCGTGCTGAGACAGGCGGAAAGGAGTTTCTACAGAGGGGTACATGAAGCAAGGTATCGACATCGGAGCGAACAGACTCAGCCCTTCTCCACCAGGCTGGTTCCTTGCGACATTTCCTTTGTCTTGGGATAGATCAGGGCCCGTGCCCGTGTTGCAGCACGACAAAGGATGCGGGGGATGAAGATCTTGCATATCCTGAAGACTGTAGATACAACTCCGTACTCCGTACATCCAAGCCCCAATCGACTCTTCAAAGACAGTTCAAAGACGGTATCAAAATGATATCTCGTGATTTCCTCATAATTCCCAATCCGGTTATATTGAACGCGAACGCGTCGCGGTTACGCGTTGAAACGCGTCTCGACACGACCGCGTCCACCAATCGGCACCGTCCCTCAGACCCACCTGTAGACCTGCCTGAGGTTACAACGGGGAGTGGTGCCTGAACATCATCCACTTCTCTCAGGTCTCCACTTTCGATCCCCTCACTACGCTGATCCAATCGCCTATCTTATCGAAGATAGCCCAGGAACCCCCTGCATTCCAGTCAAGGACAATGCAGCTGGTGGCTGAGGCGATGTCCCTGTCCTAGGAATTCCGCCCTTTGCAGTTGACAAACCCCGTCCATGGCTGATGGGGCCACTGCGCCTGTCGTTGGATATTCCTCCGGGCTGCATTGCATGATCATGTCTCCGGACGGAGTAGGTCCACGGTTCATGCAGTATATTCTACGACGATGTCAAGGTTCCAATGCCGTGGATATGGTTACATTGGCATAACCATCCGACCCACATATCGTTTTGTCCGGACTGTCGCAATGGTCTATCGTGACTGTTCTACAACTAGCACACTCCACGCCAGGGAGACACCATAATCAAGGGCGTCATGGTCAAACGACCAGCCATGAACCGGAGGACACCACCCACACCTTCCGCGCAACCAGTCGCCGCAATTGGACTCCCTCCCAACCGACTCGGAACCCCCAGGCTACCCAGCCCCCGAGGGTCGACGCAAGGGGGTCGGAACCACACCACTCACCCACTCAAATTCGCCGACGGTGGAGCTCCGCCCAAGGGCATCCATCTTGATGCAGCCGCTGTGCAGCTGACAGTTAAGTCCCTGTATAGTTGGCCATAGTCGATGGTGGCTGGGCCAACCCTTGTAAGGAATACATCTCGGGATAGTGACTCTCACCTTTGTTTTGTCACCCACACACAAACACGAGCACACGCTCCTCTCTATCTAGTTGGCCTTTCATCTCGAACACACTATCCCTGGGGTATCTCCTTGTTCCATCGAGTCGTCTTTGGGTCAGCGTACCTAAATATAGGATCTAGTGTACGCACTCTCTAGAGACTCTCCATTCGCTAGATATTGAAACAGCACTGCCCTCATGACCTACTAACAAAGCAGTACAAATCAATCACCTAAAAAAAAAAAAGAATCACCCCCTGTCCCCATCGTATGTCTTTCTCCTCGACGTAGTAGTAGGTCAAGTGACCGGCTCTAACCCTCTAGACAACTAGGCACTGCCTAGGTACGTCTATTGTACACCTAACTCGTTCGCCTATTACGCATCGTAACGTCATGTCTCGGCCCTTCTCCTTCCCCTGTCCCTTGATAAAGGCCCGGTGATTCCTCAATTAACAAAATGAAATAAAACAAAAAGCCGCTTAGCCCGTTGCAGACCAAGATCTCATGACGCAGCTTAGACCCAAGGGAGAGTCTAAACCCTTGTGCTCTAAACCCTTGTGCTTGCCACTCTGCCAGATCTAGCTACGTCTAAACCCTACCCAGCTTTACAGAGTGAGGTCACTACAATTTGCAATTACGTTCTAGGGGCTCGTGTCTCTTGCAAGGACTACTTTACTGGATTCTAATTTGGGATACCTCTTGACTCTAGCGTCTGAAGGGTGTGTATTGTGGATCTCTTTCGTGGGTTATACTCCCTACCGTCCTGGTGGTGTATGTATGGCCCTGGATTGGACGGGGTTTCTTTCCGCGGCATGCAGCCTGTCATGCAGGTGAGTATCTGCACTGTGCGTGGATTGAACAAACAACGGGCGTCAGTGGCTTGGTTTTGGAGTATAAGTCTGTAGGTAATAGGTACTATGTTGGACTCTTTGGGCTATTCTATTGTCATGGTATCTGGTTGATCTCGCATATGAAGGTTTGTTAAATTACAGGCATCTTTCCTCGTCAAGGCCTCCCATTAAGTTTCAGGAAGATTTACAATACCGTCATACTCGCCACAAGGTGAAAGGGGTGGAACAGGATAATCAAAGAAAAGATTGGAAAAAAGACAGGAATGGAAAGGGGACTAAATTCCACCACGTGTTTTTGCTCAGCGACGACGACCTTGTACACCTCGCTTCAAATTCAGAAATGGAAGGATGGCTCATTCTCGTGGAATGATCTATCGTGTGAGTCGCATGTCCGCGACTTGGTAATCGGTCCCTCTTCTAACCCCGTGTCCGGCTGCGACTCCTCACTCTCTTCATCAGTCAGTCTCGCCTCAGATGCCTCGTACTGTGATTCGGATTCGAATCCGACCTGGCTGGTCGGGGGATACCATGACTCTGTCATACTGCGGTCAAACCCTCCAGTTGTCCGTTGTGGAGGGAGTTCAACGTCCGACAGTGTCTGGGATGGCTGCTGCCCTTGTGGTGGGTATGGAGTCTCGTCGAAAAAGAACGACTCTGCGCTTATATCGCTTGATAGATGGCTCTCCTCTTCGTCTGGGTCACCTCTAAAGACAGGTGGTAGGAGCAGGTCAGAGAGTGTGGGCGATGGTGCTGCGTGACGAATTATTACCTCGTCTTCGGACGAATTAGACAGGGGCTCTCTCAGGAGCGATGATATTCGACCGGTCTCGGTACGCCCTCCCCCGACACGCTCAGTGTCCTCAATGCTCGCATGGATCGCCTCCGTCTGGACAAAACTCTCCAGATCAACTATCAGCGGCCCCTCCCGCGCCCGTGGCTTCCAGCCTTTGGTTGATCGCTGATAGACGTCTCTGAAAGCGGCTAAGTGAGAGCAGTTCGTGAACCAGCAGTGCGAGAGAGCCTGCTCCACGTCCATACGTGCTGTCTCGTCGAAGAGCAGGAGTCTGCAGATGAAGTCTCGTGCCCTGTTACCCGTTTGACTGAATGCTAGGTCGGATTCGATGGACTTGCTGAGCGCCAGTTGCACGCCTGTGAGCGTTTCGTTGAACGGTGGGTGTCCGGTGAGGAGGGTGAACGTCACGGCGCCTAGGGACCACATGTCTACGGCTTTGGTGTAGCCTTGTCGGCTGCCTTGGAATACCTCCCTGTAGCTGGTTAGTCCTTTTCTCTTATTCCTCTTTTGCACGCGGTATCTGGGCTACTTACGGCGCACTGTAGTCAACAGTCCCTACCATAGTCGACATGCGTCCTACCCTGGGTTGCACGATCCTAGCGCATCCAAAGTCAGTGAGTACGATTCTGCCTCCTTCCTCCAAGGAAGTCATGAGAATGTTGTCTGGCTTCAGGTCGCGATGGACTATGTTCCGCTGGTGGAGGTATTCCAGCGCCTTCAGCACTTGTCGCACTATGACTGCCGTTTCGATGTCGCAGAGTCGTCCGCCCTTGTATTGTATGTAGGAGAACAAGTCTCCGGCTGTTACCAGATCCTGGAAGATATAACTAACTTGTCAGCGACGTCTTGGTTCGACGGAGACGCATGGTCTTACATCGTGCTGCTCGATCGGATTACCTTCTCGATGCTGATTATGTTCGGCTACTGGTGTTAGGGCATCCATGAACAGCAAGCATGTATACTCACATGGCTAAGACCCTCCAAAATCTTGGCCTCCCGATCATAGACCTCCAACCTCCGCCGCAGATCCCTCGACCGCTGTCTCACCTCCCGTACAGCAAACACCCCACACTGAGACTGCGAGTTCTGCTGCCCATGTTTCTGGAAGTACCCAGAAATCTGCTCCCCCTCCTGCAAAGCCAACTTATTCCTCACACTCCGCAGGTCAATAATCTTACACGCCAGCTGCTGCCCGGTCTCCTTATTAAACGCCATATGGACCTTCCCGTAGGCACCAGAGCCCAGCACACGCTGCGTAATCGTATACTTATCTGCGAAAGCCTGCACACCCTATCGATCAGCTGCTGCGCGATCAGCCGCAAGGGCAACAACGACGACGACTAACATCCATCTCAACCCGCTGCAACGCCCTAAACCCCGTCGGCCTAGTATCCTCATCATAGCTATAGCGGACATGCACCCCAGACGGCAGCATTAGGACGTCACCGTCGCTAAGCAGGAAACTATCGCGATTATGTCCCATCGAGTACCCATTCCAGCGCGTACCGTTCATCGAGAGATTCCGCGCGTATACCAGCGGGGCGACCTCGTCCGGATGCTCCCTGTCGTAAATGATCGTGTATATCTCGATATGTGTGTTTGAGACGACGGGGCTCTTTACGACGATTTGGCTGCGGCCGGTCAGTGTTCTTGTCTGGGGAGGGTGGGAGGAAGACGGTACGGACCATTGCTGGGGCTCTCGGCCTATGAGGATCTTTTCTTGGCTGTAAAGTTGAAGGTGATTGCTGCTGCTGTTGGTTTGGGGGTTCCATTCTGAGAGTGTGCCAACGAAGAAGCCGGGTTGGGAGATGGATGGGAATGACATTGACTTGGAGTTGCGGGTTGGTCTTCTGGGAGAATGGTAGATTATATTGCTCTAGAGGCTGCGTTGGACTAAAAATGATGTCGATGATGCTGAAAAGTATGTCTCAATGGAAGAGGTGAGGTTTCGACAAGTTGTCGACAAGTAGAGAAGATAATTTCACAAGCTACCTACAGAGGTGTCGCATGTCACCTGCTGTCCAGGCCGCCACCCTCTACAAGGACAAAGAACTTAGGTAGGTAGTTTATTTGCAAGGTGTTACATCACTTCTTCAGTATGACATTCGTCAATACACACCACATTGGCAGTCATTATCATTCAATCATACGGTCTATCATCACGACTGCTGCATGCGACGAAAGCGCTCTTCAGCAGCCCTAGCCCGACGCTCCCTCTCCAAACGCATCCTCATCTCCGGCGTCATCCCCCGCATCTCTTCTTCTCGCCTCTCATTAGCCGTCTTCTCGACGGATGCTAGAGTGCGGCCCGGTCTCTTCGATTCCTGCGACGCTGCCTTGGCGGCATCTTCCCGCTTCAGTCGCTCCATCTCCGTCTTCCGCCGCTTAGCCTCATCCTCTTCGGCGGTCTTCTTTTCCCTCTCCATTCTACTCTCGGCGTCAGTCTTTGAAATCGGCGACGGGACCTTGGCAGCGTCCCAATCCCACTTGGTCTCGCCGATTTCGTGGCGTGCAACGCGGAAAGCATCTCGGGTAGCTCGGTCTCCCGCAAGCTCGAACGGCGTTTTTCCTTCGCCGTTGGCCGTAGTGGGATCCGCATCTGCTTTCAAAAGAAGGGCAGAGACCACAGATGGCGCATTGAGATTCGAAGCGAGGTGGAGTGCAGTCGGAGCTCGGAAGTTTTGCTGCGAATCAGACGGCAGGAATGTGAAAGAGGACGGGATGGAGTTTTTCGAGAGATATGACATCAGCGCCGGGATTTTGGAGCGACGGATGAGGGCTTGTATTTGGGTGGTGTGCAGCAGAGCAGCTTCCTCTTCCTTGGAGAGCTTGGGCTTTTGCGGTTGCGGTCGGGGTGTTGATGGTTTGGAGGTTTCCCCTTGTTGTTTGGCTTCGGCTGCTGCCAGAGCCGCTTGGTCCACCTGGCTAACTTGCACGCGAGTGAGTTCTTTGAAGCATCTCATCAGCTCCCCTTGAGTAGCCCGACGGGTGCTAAACGGAAACCCTCTCAGTCGCGGGTCATTCTGCTTCAAAACCTGGCCGTCGTATTGGCCGAATAGGATCCTCCGGTTGGTGCTGCCCGTAGCCCGAACGAAAAGCTTTTCCGCACTGTCAATCTCCCCGCGCCAATCTTTCAACAGGTCCCTGACTTCTTTCTCCAGGGCAGCCTCGTTATACCGTCTCAAGCTAGAACCCGCAGAGTGCGCTGCTCCTCTGGAAGCATCGCTGGCCGATTGCGAGCCACCCTGCTTCCTCCTCGTTGTGTATCGGTGGAAGGTCTTGTGCGCGATCACGCGAGCTTGTCGTTCCACGAATCCGCCTTGTTTTCGTTGAATCTCCGGGGCCAACGCTACAATCATCGCGGCAAAATGGCCACCACCGATCATGCACATAAAAAAGTGAGGGGTGGACGACGGTGAGGCGCCCTGACCCTGGTTGCCGTTTTTCTGTGGATCGATCGGAGTTAGTTGTTTCTTCTTCAGCGTGTCGACGAAGTGTGCAGGCTCATCTTGCTCTGCGTTGGAAAACAAGGCTCGGTAGATGCCCAACGAATAATTGGAAGGAAACAAAGAGCTCGAAAACCAGAAGAGGGGGTGTTTCCCTCCACTCCTCTTCTTCGGGGCCTCTTCATCATCCGCTGTCTGAGACAGCTTAGCCTGCTTTTTAAGCAAGCTCGCAAGCTGTGAAGGATCTTCCTCCTCGGATGACGACGACTCAGACCCGGAGATTGACTCGTCCATATCACCGATGGCCTTCATAAACTGCACCTCATCCAGAGTCTGGTTGCCTCGCAGTTGCGCCTTGGCGTTATATCGATGATGATCTGAGCGCACATGACCCCGCTGTTCTTGGACGTTGGAGAAAGTCACGTTGCAGAGGGAACACGAGGTCGATGAAGCAATCGCAAGTTCCTGCGCCGCATCTGCAGGTGGTTCGGCAGTCGGTTCGACATTATCCTTGGGGGCGATGGCCTGGCCCTCTCCTTTCGTGGTGAGAGTCGCGAGGACTTCCTCGGGGAGATCGTAAACTAGTAGACAAAAAGCATCGCATCAGCATGGCTCTTCCATATTTTGGCAACGTTGACCTACCGTATAGAGGCCGTTTCAGGAGATCCTCCGTTATAGCAGTTTCTGCGACCATCTTGAGTCCAAAGTTCAGAGCGTGATGGTATCAGACAAGGTGTTTGGGTCACGGCGGCAAAATCCGAAATGATCTCTCTGGGTTGGACTGACCGCCCTGGCCGCGGGGCTGATAATGAGGTAAGAAGCGGATTGAATTGTGGGGATTTAATTATTCTCTTTAGTTCTGGTGTCACTGGGGAAACAATTATTTATTTGACTTTCCACTGCATGTTCAATACGAGAAAGCATCCTAGTGGTCCAGACTTGAGTCACATCAGTCAATAATATGCCTTGCCTTGCCACACCCGGGTGCCTTAATGACACATTCAGCCGTGAGTCATTGTCCTATGGCGACGCCCGATGCGGACCCCGGTCTTTACGGTCCCATCTCGAATCTGTCTGTGACAAACATGGCAATAAATTGAAACTATAGAAAAGAGTTCTGTATAACCCCACACAACAAGCGCATCGGGAAGGCCAATCAGGGGAGCTCGACCCGCAGGACGTCGCGATGCGGTGCCAGAAGGATATTGGCATGCTGCCATGCATAGGGACCAAACCCCACAATTCCTCGAGATTTGGGTGACGGCGGGATTCTTGGCTCTCTTATATCATTGTTCTGGACCATGAAGGTACAACGTGGGATTGATGGGAAGCATAGTCGCCAATTGAAGGCAGGATATATAGCACGACTCCGAATCTGGTAACGTCGCACACCCGAGTCTATTCACGATCTACCATGGGGATACTTTGTACTCTGAAAAATCTGTGTTATAGCCCGAGGGAGCTCAAAGACCGAACTGTCAAATGTGATGGGCTCTTCAAATTAACATATCCAGAGACCAGAGGCATTACATCATCATCATGAGTGACAGTGTATGGTATAATCACAACATAGCTTTGTTATCGATATACTACTTCGATATTCAGGACCATACAAGAATAAATTTACAATCTTTAGCTCAGTGAATCGCGATGCTAATGGACGGTTTAAAAAATATAGATAGTGTGGACGATCTTCCCCCAAAGTAGTATAAAAAACCATCGATGCCAAGACTGGAGCCTGCTTGAAAGACCGATGTCATACCTCACGATGACCAGAACTGATAGGCAAGAATGACTCGCATGTGCTTCGGTAAGAGTCCACATTAGACGCCAAAGAATCCAAAAGAATCAACAGCAATTACTAATGTCCTGGACCTGAAGAGCTCCCCCGATCGTCGGGAAAATCGCCTCGAACAAGCCCTGCTTATCCCCGAAGCTTTGGCCGTTGATTTAGTAAGCCGGCTGCAGCTAACGGCTAGTGCCGCCCTCGTTGTAGTGCTTTACTCGCTCCTACAAAAGATGTGAGACCCTCCGCCTTTTCTCCCTTCGCGTCCGCTCTTTTCTCTCTGGATTGATCAATGTCCTACCCCCTTCTCTCTTCTCCCTTTGCTCTCTGAAGTAGGTCATACAGACCAGGGATTTATGAACCCGGGGGGCATGATGGTGAATGGCAATTCCCAGGTGATCCTGGGAGATTCCCGCCCCGGATCGTTACCGTCGTCAACTCCCATCTCAGCATTCCAACCCCGCAAGCTACAGCCCTTTTGTGGCGATGTGGAAGGCTGGGGGCCTATCAGCCAGCTGCGATTCGACCTGACGCCATGCTTTCTTGACTTGACTTTGGCCATAGTGGGCCTGTGGGGGGTGCTGATGGGTGCCGGCGCGATCTGGTTCTTGTTCAGGAAGAAGATCCCCCAACCTGTATCGACGAACTGGCATTTCTTCGCCAAACTGGTATGTTCATGATCTTGTTCTGTTCGCGCGCATTTTTGGTCAGCAGGTGGACTGACGGGGACCGCGTTTTCTGGGTATCAGGCCGTACTCGCCGCCATTATCTTCACCACAGCCCTCGAAGCGGCGCTGCAAATCGAAACGTACTCGCGTGTGTGGTGGAATGATATCCGGTTTTGGAGCTCGATCTTGGTGCTGCTTTCACTGTGCGTGATCTTCACCGTTCAATACTATGAACACTGGAGAAGCCGACAGCCCAACGGGGTGGTTCTCTTCTACTGGCTGTTCTTCTGCGGCGCGTACGGCGTCAAACTGCGGTCGCTTGTCGATCGGCACGCCTGGGAGGATCGACTGCCATACTTTGTCAGCTTCAACGTGACCTTGGGACTGGCGCTGGTCGAGTTCGTCTTGGAATACTTGGTGCCGAAAAAGCAGAGCGACTACGATGCTCTGGGCGATGAGCATGAATGTCCCTACGAATATGCGGACATCTTCTCCGTACTGAACTTCAGCTGGATGACACCGATGATGAAGTTCGGATACACCAACTTCCTGACCCAGGATGATCTGTGGAATCTTCGCCCCGGCGACAGCACCCGCGCCACCGGAGGCAACCTGCAGGAGAGGTGGAACGAGGAACAGGAGAAGAAAAAGCCGTCCCTCTGGTTGGCTCTTTTCAAGGCCTTTGGGGGTCGCTATATGCAGGGTGCTATGATTAAATGCGGAAGTGATATGCTCGCCTTCATCCAGCCGCAGCTTTTGCGACTCCTCATTGAGTTCATCAACACGTACCGGACTCCCGAACCCGAGCCAGTGATCAGAGGTGTTGCCATCGCGATCGCCATGTTTGTCGTTTCGGTGACCCAGACGATGTGCCTCCACCAGTATTTCCAGAGGGCGTTTGACGCTGGCATGTACGTCAAGTCATCGTTGACGGCTATGATTTACGCCAAGTCCCTGAGGCTGTCGGGCGAGGGTCGCGCTTCGAAAACCACGGGCGACATTGTCAACCACATGGCGGTTGATCAGCAGCGATTGTCCGACCTGACTCAGTTTGGCATCCAGCTGTGGTCCGCGCCTTTCCAGATTACCCTCTGCATGCTGTCGCTCTATCAGCTCGTCGGACCGAGTATGTTCGCTGGTATTGGAGTGATGATCCTCATGGTTCCATTCAACGGAGCGATCGCGCGGATGATGAAAAAGCTCCAACTGACCCAGATGAAGAACAAGGACTCCAGGTCGCGTTTGATGACGGAGATCCTCAACAACATCAAGAGCATCAAACTCTATGCCTGGAACACGGCGTTCATGAACAAGCTCAACCACATCCGAAACGACCTCGAGCTGAACACTCTTCGCAAAATCGGAGCGACTCAATCAGTTGCCAACTTCACATGGCAGTCGACTCCTTTCCTTGTCTCCTGCTCCACCTTTACTGTCTACGTCCTCACGGATCCCCGGCCTCTGACCACCGCCGTGGTCTTCCCTGCCCTGACCCTCTTCAATCTTCTCACTTTCCCCCTGGCGATCCTGCCCATGGTTATCACCTCCATCATCGAGGCCTCGGTTGCCGTCAAGCGCTTGACGGAGTACCTCAATGCGGAAGAACTGCAGACCGACGCCGTGAAGTTTGAAGACCCCGTAGCTCACATGGGTGACGAGTCGGTGCGCATCTGCGATGCCTCGTTCACCTGGAACAGACATGAGCCCACCCCCGTGATCGAGAACATCGACTTCAGTGCCCGCAAGGGCGAACTCAGCTGTATCGTGGGTCGCGTCGGCGCCGGCAAGTCTTCTTTCCTGCAAGCGCTCCTGGGAGACCTGTGGAGGACCGAAGGTGAGGTCGTCGTGCGTGGCCGTGTCGCATACGTTGCGCAGTCGTCCTGGGTCATGAATGCCAGCGTTCGCGAGAACATTGTTTTCGGACATCGGTGGGACCCTGAGTTCTATGATCTCACTGTCAATGCGTGCGCTTTGCGTGACGACTTCAAATCCCTGCCGGACGGCGATCAAACAGAAGTCGGAGAGAGGGGCATCTCACTCTCCGGAGGACAAAAGGCCCGTTTGACGCTGGCGAGAGCCGTGTATGCCCGTGCCGATATCTACCTGCTCGACGACGTCCTCTCCGCGGTCGATCAACACGTGGGACGGCATCTCATCAACAAGGTCCTTGGCCGCGATGGTATTCTCAGCACCAAGACGAGGATCCTCGCAACGAACGCTATTCCGGTCCTCAAAGAGGCGGACTTTATCGGTTTACTACGCAACAAGACTATCATCGAAAAGGGTACCTACGAGCAGTTGATCGCCATGAAGGGCGAGATAGCCAACCTTATCCGTACGACCATGAACGATTCCGACGAGGATGAGGATTCGATCAGTGATGACCACGGCCTTGCTAGCCCAGAAAGCTCGGAATCCGCTACCGTCATCGATAACCCGGAGTCCGAGAACACGGATACAGACGAGGCTGAGCAGCAGTTGGGAACGATTGCTCCGATCAGAGTGGGTCAGCAACGGAGGGCCAGCGGCACGACCTTACGGCGTGCTAGCACGGCGACCTGGCACGGCCCTAGGCGCAAGATTTCGGATGAAGAAAATGTGTTGAAGACCAAGCAGTCCCAGGAAACTTCTCAGCAGGGTAAGGTGAAATGGAGCGTCTACGGCGAGTACGCCAAGAACAGCAATATTGTCGCGGTCGCTTTCTACATGCTCGCGCTCTTGGGTGCTCAGACGGCGCAAGTTGCCGGTAGTTTTTGGCTCAAGCATTGGACAGAGGAGAGCGAATTTCAGCTGCATCCTAATATTGGTAAATTTATCGGAGTCTATCTGGCATTCGGTTTTGGATCCTCCATCTTGGTCATTGTCCAGAACCTCATCCTATGGATCTTCTGCTCGATCGAGGCCTCCCGCAAGCTGCACGAGCGGATGGCTTTCTCGATCTTCCGTTCTCCCATGAGCTTTTTCGAGACTACGCCGTCTGGTCGCATTCTCAATCGGTTCTCCAGGTAAGTCTCATTGTTGCGTTATGGGGGCTGAGGTTAACGTTTTTAGCGATGTTTACCGAATTGATGAGGTACTTGCGCGCACGTTCAACATGGTATGTTCCGAAACCCTCCTTTGATGTCGATTGTTATTGACTTGGTCAGTTGTTTGGAAATTCCGCCAAAGCACTATTTACTATGCTGGTTATTGCATCTTCGACCCCCGCATTCATCCTATTGGTGATTCCCCTGGGGTATATCTATTTGAGCTATCAAAAGTACTATCTCCGGACGTCGCGAGAGTTGAAGCGTCTCGACAGTGTGT